CCCATTATCTCTATGTAGAGCACTCTTATAGAGCATATAAAATTCCCCATTATCTCTGTGTTTGGTTAGCTGTCACTGGTGTCCTGTTTCTATCTCCCCTGCTATCTTTATATCTCTTGCTGCCTCTGTCGCTTGTTGCGCTTGCATTTCAATTGACGGCACCATCATTAAATTTCCAATGTTTATCCCCACCGCCGCGTGCTGAATTCTAAAAACAAACCGCATAAACATAGTATATATGTGCTATCCTTCCGCCTCCTCCGTTTCCTGGCGCACAAGGACTCGCAATATTATGTCGCAAACAAGTCACAACAGCAACTATACTGCTAAGCGGATTGGGTTACTGCCCGCGTCCAATATCCTGGACACTGACAATGTTGTCCTGCTCCTTTGTGATGGGATTGACTTAATGCCGACTTGGCGACTTGGCAGGCAACTATAAATAGATCAGACCACACATCTGCCGTTGATTCAAGAAGCTCCGGGCTACGTAGCACTGGTAAAAAATAATATTAGTTTACTAACGTAATCTCATTTATTATTTCAACTATCTTTCTATAAATCGAGGTGTTTTATCTAAATGTTTGGAATATTATTTTTACTAGTAATTAAAATTGCTTAAAACGACTTTGAAATACATATAAGAAATACACATTTGATGAACCCTGTCTTATGTGTTCCAATTGACTTAGTTTCTAAGATATTTATTCTCCGTGCATCAATTACCAATTGGCATTCAGCACGTCCCCTGCCGCTGATGCCGCTGGCCGTGTAAATCAGGCTAATTAAATCAGAATGCGGCATTAAAAGTTTATGGTGGCTGTGGGCCAGGACACCAGAACATTAATGTAATCATTTGCCATAAATTTGCATTTATGACGCGTCTTGCGCACGTTGTCGTGGCAATTCATTTGCCGGTCAGCGATCCTGTCATCTCAGGACGCGGACAAGTAGGGAAGGACGAGCTGGCATATTAATTAAAGTGTCGCCGCTAATGAGTTAGATTAAAGCGGGCAGATGCGCGTGTTTGCCGGCGTCACTTCCTCGCTTTCATTCCGGGCGAGCGTGCGTGTAATTGGCAATATCTTCTGGCCAGGATTACACCGGAAAATGTGTGTGTGTGTTTGTGCTCGTAAGGATGTGGGTCTTGGGTCTGGGACATTCATTAAGCTTTTAATGCTCGACGTTCCCAATTTGTTGCGATTACCAGGTTAGGCGCAGTAAAGTATGCTACAATTACCTTGATTGAGAATTGCTGTAGAATAAAAATCTTTGGGTATTAGTTGGTTTTTTTTTACAAATATAAATTTTTAAATAAATCAAATAAAATAAAAACATTTCTAAAAGCTTTAAATCATGATTTTAAGCACAAATATAGGTATTTGTCGATTTGCACCAAGTTTTCTTATTAATGTTTCACTGAATGACCAACTTTAATCTTTCTTTCAAGATTATGAAGTAAGGTACATTCCAGACAAATGTGTAAAGAAATAACATGTTTTTTCGACTTGTTTTCTTTCTTTGATTGAGCTGCTTTCTAGCGTAAATAATTTAAATTGACGAAACTTTTGCATTCAAAAGAGAAAATCCTTGGACAAAAATAAACAAAAATCAGACTCTTCGTTTTAACATTCCATTTCGCAAAGAGTGCCAAAGGGAAAGAAGGAGCAGTTCAAGAAAGATGTATACAGCAGCCATATATCAGAATTATTCAGCAATAACTATGGAAATGTTTATAACGAACGAGTCATCTGTCTTTTTCCGAGGGCTGCAGCTGATAAAATAAAATAAATTCGCATATTAAATGTAGACTTTCCGCTCCTCTGCCTGGCACATATTTTATGTCCCTGAACATTCGCCAACTGACATTATTAATACTAATTTATACACAAGCCTGGGAATCTCGGTGTGCTTGTAATCTTGTTGCGGCAGTTGGCAGTTGGCTTTTTAAATGGCCTACACAATTGTTGGGGCCCACAAAGGTTGTCATGGGCCTGCCTCAATGTGGAAAATTTGTCTTTTCAATTGTGCATGTGCTGCTGGCCTCATAAATGTTTTATGTGGTTATATGCGACATTTATTCGCTCGACAAAATTCTCCCATCTGTCACTCAGGGCCTGTGCAAAGCCGTTTGAAATGAAATTCTTCTGGTATTGATTTTCGAGAATTTAATTAAACCCTTTCGCCGCCCCGATGTATTATCAATAAATTTGTGTGCCAAAACCATAATCCATGCCCGTATTTTAGCCCCGATAAATCGAAAAGTATACAGAGTTGGCCCCACAAAGGAAGGAAATGCCAGCAGCATTCAGCTGCACCACAATCCCGGCTGCAGGCCACTAAATTGTGGCACGAGCTGGCACACGGCCATCTGGCCAGAAGGTATCATTGCGCTCCCAGTTCGCAGTTTCCAGCTCCCAGCTCCCCCGGCCATAACCTCCTGGGCTGACTGCATTTCCAGAGCCCGGCTATAAAGCCTTTGCCGCGCATCGCAAATCCGGAGGCTGTGGCTGCTGTGGCCTGACTGACTGATGGCCAGGTGAAGCCTTCAACGCTCGGATTAAGCGTAGATGGGCGGGTTATGTGTGCACACACAGAAAATGTAGTATGTTTTACACAATTTTATTTCACACATTTTTCAAAAATAAATGAATTCGAAGAGACGTATATTGTTATTTCTTACACTGGTAAAAAAAACGCATAGTAAAATCAAATATTTTTTTAGTTGATTTCATTTACTACTTTTCATAGTTAAATCAAATAAATAAATCATTGATTTTAATAAAAAGCATATTTAAACCTTCATTCAAATATAAAAATAATAAAATCGAAGGGAATTATATTTGAAATGATATTACTGATGTTGAAAACCAAAGTCGCAATAGTAGTTTTTAGTATTGTAAATAGTAAGTTATATACATAGTATAATCAATGTTTTTTCTGATCCGATTAAATACTTTCGCAATTTATTTTGAATAAAAAGTTTATTTGACACAATTATTTTGAAAGTCAAGATTCAAATAATATTAAATTAAATTTCCATAAAATGTATGAGTGAAAAGTAGCATTTTTAGTTTTAAAAAGTTATATGTGTTATGGATCGTGTTAACTTTACATTTAAGTTGAACTTATCCACTCGCGCGTAACATGGTGCGATGGATCAATAGGTAAGGCATCTACCTCTGACGCGAGAGGACCCCGGTTCGAAACCGTCTGAGGCAGAGTAAGTAAAAAGTTTTTAAGAAGCGTATTTAACATTTCCTTAACATTTATAAGAACATTATTGTATTAAAAAAGTTGTAAGAATTACTAATCACAAAAAAAAAAAAAAATAAGTTGTGGTGTCTGCGGGACTTGAACCTGGTACCCCCGAGCACAAAATAGTATCAGAACCAAGCCCTTGACCCCTGAGCCATGCCCATATTATTTCCTATCGAGGCAGAATGCTCTTTTAAGTTCACAGTAATATTTTTGATTGTAATGACAATAAATAACTGCATTTCAAAATTAAAGTAAATACTTTAGGCGCTCACTCGAAAAAAAAACAAATTTGTAAATTATTATTACAAGATTCTGGATAAAAAAAATAGTCAAATCAAATACAAAAATCTTTGAATTTACTATAAAAATATTTAAAACATTATTAACTATGCGCCATATACGATTTTACTATTTTCATGTTAGGATCTATTTCGCTGGGAAAAATAATTGAAACAATGGTAAAATAGTGACATTTACCATTTTTTTTTTACCAGTGTATCACTGCAACATTTTAATATTATTGGAAATATTTTTAAAAGTCAATAACACTGTATTACAAAATGAATGGAATTTTTTTTTACCTGATATGGATGCCATAAAATTGCATTCGCTTTGAATACCCGACGTGAAATGCGTTCTTCCAAAAATTCCCTGACTCAAGGATTTAAAGAAATAAAACCTACAAGTTTGAACAATGCAGTAATTTGCCAACTTTTGGGGGGTATTATAGGCAAACGGGTTATTGGTTTGTTTTGTTGTCAAAGCATTTTGAAAGTGCTATTCTTTCTCTTTTGAGTCCCTTACTCAAAATAATTTTGAAGATTTTTTTAGGAAGAAAACATTGTTATATAAAAATAATAGTAGTGTTTCTCAACTACGTTTTTTTAAATAAATTATTTATATAATTTTATTTCATTTTATACAGACTTAAAAATCATGTTTTAATAAAAAACTGATATAAATGTAATTTAGATTTTAATTTAATAAATCTTTTTAGATATTTATTAAAGCTCTAAAGTGATATTTATGCACAGAATGATAATATATAGGGCACACAAATTTCGCAAAGTGCTTTATGCAGTTGCTTTAATGAAAACTTTCATTTGAGCGAAATATCTAGTTTCATTATTGCAGTTAGCAAACAGAAAGTTGCCAGTAGCCCAAATTCGTCCAAAAGCCGCCCAGAGAAAGGAGAAATTCACTTTTAATTATTTACGGCTAAGCAGAAAGTTGGCCGAAAGGAGGAGAGTTGGCCGCAGGAGACACTTTTTTGTGCTGCGGACACAGAAACTTTTTGCCAAACGCCGTTTGCCTGGTTTTCATTTGCTGGCGGGAGGAAGAAGGGAAAATATGGTTGGTGTCGAAGCATTTGAGAGTTTCCTTCGGTTCCGTTTGCAATTCCATTACTTTAATGTGGCAGGAAGGAAAGGGAAAACTTTTAAATCTTTATTTATAAAAGCTTCCGCACAGGCGGCAACTTTTGTGTGCGAGTGAAAATGAAATAATTCCGACAGCCGCAGCTTTGCGGTGGCCCGTGTGGTTTCCCTGGCCAAAACTATGCCAGCCAAACTTGCTAAATGCCCTGACAAACTTTTGCTTTGCCCCACAAAGAAGAGGGTGGATGTGAGCTACAGCTATATCTTTATATATATAGATTTATATGCCCGGCTTTAGTTGGATTACCCCTAAGACGTGCAAATTGTTTAGCTAATTCAACGCCTTATTCTATTTACTTGCAGTGCATGCGAGCCTACGTGGAGTTCGAGATTTCCGAGGGCGCCTACGAGATCTCCTGTCCGGACGCCAAGTGTCCGGCCCAGGGCGCCATTTCGCTGCCCGAGATTGCGAACCTGACCACAACGAATCTGCTGAAGAAGCACCATCGGTATCGCCTGAATCGAGGTTGGTTTTCTTAGCGCTGTTTGCCATAAAAAAACCCTTCATTTGTACTTGTTTTAACTAATTTAGAAATCGAATTGGACAAGACGCGCACCTGGTGTCCACGGGCTGGCTGCGAGACCATCTGCACGGTGGGCGGATCAGCGCAGCCTGGACAGTCCAGTGCCATTTGCCAAATGGACGAGTCGCCGTCGACATCGCAGAGCTACAGTCCGCAACAGGAGGCAGCCGGAAGCGGAAACGCAGGTGGCGCCACCGGAATCAGAATCGGAGCAGCCGTGCTCTCGGTGTCCGTGCACTGTCCCTCCTGCAAGGACGAGTTCTGCGGCCTCTGCAAAAAAGCGGTAAGTGTGTGGCTTTCGTTTGCATTTCCTGCGGTTTTGTCATGAACAAGGAATAAATATAAAATTTTTTATTATGTTCTCGGTATCCTTTGTTATAATGCAAGGTTCAAACTTGATTTCTGAATATATATTCTTTATTATTAAGAACGAGTCAAAATTAATTTAAAGTTAAAATAAAAAATCATTGCCATAAACATAAGAATAACTAATACGGGCAACCAAAAAAATAAATTCCTTTAAGTAATGTTGGATTATTTTTATATACATTTTCTGGATTTTTTTCATGGTTTTATCCCCTCATTTTGCAGTACCATCCGAACATAAGCTGCGAGGAGTTCGGACGCCGTCTGATTGCCGATGGCCAGGACGACATTGGAATACCGTTCGACAACGAGCTGATCAAATGCTGCCCCATGTGCGCGGTGCCCATCGAGAAGGACGAGGGCTGCGCCCAGATGATGTGCAAGCGCTGCAAACACGTCTTCTGCTGGTACTGCCTGGCCAGTTTGGATGTGAGTCCCTTAAAGAAAACAGATCTTAAAAGCAATGGTTACTAAATTTGAATTGCATTCCCCCAGGACGACTTCCTGCTGCGCCACTACGACAAGGGACCGTGCAAGAACAAGCTGGGCCACTCCAGGGCCTCGGTGGTCTGGCATCGCGCCCAGGTGATCGGGATCTTCGCCGGCTTTGGGATCCTTCTGTTGGTGGCCTCGCCGCTGCTGCTCCTGGCCGCTCCCTGCATCATCTGCTGCAAGTGCCGAGGCTGCAGCGGCTCCAAAATCGACGAGGTGGACGCCGAACTGGAGGAGGAGGTCACCGCCTTGCAGGGCTAGATGGTCAGGATCTCCTCCCTCCTATACCCATCCATACGCGACATTAGGCTGCAGCCTGTAAATCCAGCTGCTGCAATTACTGGTAGATTCTATTGTTAATGACGACAAGCTTACGTACATTTATTTTAGTTATTACAATTAAATTTGTATATGTGTTAACTAAATTGTGATATTTACAGTGATTCGATTTCTAATTGAATCGACAAATTTGTTGAGAACCTATACAAAGACAAGAAGCCTTCGATTCTTTTTAGGTTCTGTCTCTACATACATATATTCTTTCCGCCCCCTAACTGCACTCATGAATATATACCTATATTCGCCTAAATCAATCTGTATAAATCGAGTAGGTCCTCTTCTTATCGCATAAGTTAGTCTAAATATATTAGGAGTACGCTTCGTATTTCGACAGTGCTTTTATATCGCACCCACCCAAACAAAAACCCCCACACCCCACTCACCCACTCAATCCTTCTCTCAAGTATTACGCATGCAACTAACAGACCCAAGATCCTTTGGGCATTTTGATCAACTGCTTGGCAATGCTTTTATCTTCGCATACGCATCTATGTATACTTCATATATAGGAGGTGTACGTATATGATGTCACTACTACTGTTTATTGAATGTATTTAAATGTAAATGTTAATATGCAGCTAAAACAAATGTAAAACAGATCGCTGCCCACGGCCACTCGACCAAGAAATGGCGGTGCGCCGGATGGGCGGGGTTTGGTTAATGTAAATTATTGAATTATTTAATGCATATACACTCAGAACACATATATCAAAATACGTATGACATAACAATGCGTGTATATTTAAAGAAAACATATTTAAACTCTACTCTTAATGTGAACAACTACCGCGTATGCTGTTTGAAATAAAAATGTTAAAAGAAGCGGGCTGTTTTTGGTCATTTTCGGAACATAAAATACAATAGCTTAATGGGGAGACTAATCTGGGACCCCAAATAAAATATATCCAAACGGGTTAACTTTGACTGAAATGTTTAAATTTCCCGCGGCTATTTTTGCTTAGGCCTCGCGTCTGGCAACGCTATGATGGTGGTTTGAATATCTGCTATATTCGTATTTAAGTTCTAAACCGATAAGCCAACTTAGAGCCCCATTTTAATGTGGTCACATTGGCAATCACTTATCGATTTATCGAAAACATCAGCCGGCAAATAGTTGTTATTTACTGATTTTAATTGATTATTGGTGAACATAGCATTTCGGGGACTGGGAATAGATAGCCATACACCCTGCCGCCATGGACGACCAGGCGTGCCCGCGGTGCAAGACCACCAAATACCGGAATCCCTCGCTCAAGCTGATGGTCAACGTTTGCGGCCACACGTTGTGCGAGTCCTGCGTGGATTTGCTGTTCCTCAAAGGATCCGGCGCCTGTCCCGAGTGCATGGTGCCCCTGCGCCGCAACAACTTCCGCGTCCAGCTGTTCGAGGATCCCATGGTGGAGAAGGAGGTCGACATTCGGCGGCGAATCCTGCGGGACTACAACAAACGCGAGGAGGACTTCGGCTCGCTGGCCGAGTACAATGACTACCTGGAGGAGATCGAGGACATTGTGTACAACCTGTGCAACAACATCGAGATCATCGAGACGAACAAGCGGATCGAGGCGTACAAGCGCGACAACCGCGAGGTTATCCAGCGAAACAAGACGCGCGTGGGGCGCGATGAGTACGCCCTGGAGGAGATGCTGGAGCTGGAGAAGGTCCAGGAGGAGGCGCGCCGTAAGGAGCTCGATGAGCTGGAGAACGAGCACAAGAAGAAGAAGGCTCGCGACAAGCAGGCGCTGATCGAGGAGCTGATGTACAGCGGCAAGGATGCCGCCCAGATTGTCACCGAGTTCGCCGAGAAGGCAGAGAAGCAGCGCGAGGAGGAGAAGCAACTTCCGCCACCGAAGCCCGCCAACGAGTTCTCCACGGGCATTAAGTTTGGCCAGACAGCCGACCCCAGCCTGCTGCCCGTTCCCAAATCGGAGGAGGGTCCGCTGTTCGTCTACGAGCCACTGGTTGCTTTGAGTGAAGGACCCGCCATGCCGCCCACCAGTGAGATCGTGGGCAGGGGCTATATTGCCCACATACGCAGCGAAACCCCGCAGGAAAACGCCGGTGGATTCACATCGACCCTGGCCTGCGAACGGGCGCTCCAGGAGGCGCTGCAGGGACTCTACTACACGGCCACGACGGGCGTGGCCGCCGGCACCTAGCTCCCGGAGATGGCAGCTTCTGATGGTCGCACAACCAGAGCACTGAACGCTTACTTTTGTTGAACAAATGTGTCCTATATGAATCCATTCAGTTAACTTGTAATCTACTTAATATATTTTAATGAAATAAATGCTATATCGTACGTTATAGAAGGCCTTTTTGACTAGCCAGTATTATCGTGAGAAGGCAACCGGTCCCTTACTTTGTGCATACGTTGTTTATAAAAAAGGTTCACACAGATGATCATTTCTGTACACTAAACAGGAATAAATATGTAAGTTTTTTCCAAACTTACTTCTATTTAAAAGGATAAATTCTTTGGCTAAGGCCTTCTAAAATATATACATATACTTATTTAATACATTTATATTCAGGGGTCACACAAAAAGTTTTTTGTGCGGAATTCGGGAGAAACTTGTATTGATACCCCCTATTACAATATTATAAATATTAAAAAAACCATTTTTTAGTAATTGAAGATTTTATTTGCTAAGGGGAGTACGAGGGAGATGGAGATGGAGATATAAAACTTTGATCGCGCATAACTTTTTAACGAATGGTCCAATTTGATTTCTACAATTCAATAGGTATTGATTAGAACAATAAAACTGATATTTTACTTTTCCGATATCTCTAAAGGTGTGGGCGCCAGACACATCTTAAAATCGTTTGTGGGCGTTAGAGGGGCTCGACTGAAATAAACTTGCGCTGAGTAGGAAGCCCAAGAACTAGCTTTTGTAGTTTCCGAGTTCTCAGCGTTCAAACGGACACACAGACGGACATGGGTAGATCGACTCGGCTAGTGATGCAAGAATATATGTACATACTTTATAGGGTCAGAAATGCTTTCTTCTAGCTGTTACACTCTTTTGCTCGAATACAATATACTCATTTTCTCTAAGAATTACGGGTATAAGCACGGACACCAAAGAAATTGTTTTTATGTCTTTGAAAATATGTATCTTTAAAAAATTTGTTTACTTTTTTTTTATCTAGGGATCTAAAATCTACCAGGAACTACCATCATCCCCCTTGGTGTACTTTAAAAAAGTTATGTTGTGGACTAGTGTAATAAATTTGTACTGAGTATACAATATACCAATTTTCGGAACCCTATTGCGGAGAAAACACATTCCCGGTAACCACAAAATACTTTTAATCTTAATAAAAACATTAGGAAAAAACACCGTATATAATTCTCTTATAAATATATTTTAAGCTTACGTCGAAATATTGCATATATCAGAAATTTTGGTGGTTCACGTGGCGAAGTCATGACGACTTTTTAACTCGATAAAGGGCCTTGTGTTTAAAAGAAACGCTCCAAACCATTCTATAATTATAATTAGCTATCAGCAAACAGAGCCGACAGTTGTGTTTTCTAAGGAACATAAACCCGAACCCCCATTAAAACTGAAAACAAAATTGGATAACAACATTTGATATGTAAAGTGTCTGACGATCCAATTAATTGAAAACAAGAAAGGAAGTGACCTTCGCCAAGCCGAAGTTTATATGCAGTTTCAGTTTAAATAAATTCTTTTAGCTTAATGATTTTTCCAACTCTTACGAGATTCTAGGTCTCCCTTGATCGGTGCCGTTCCAGTGATGTTATTAAAATGTATCTCGATGAATACGATAAATTTGAATTCCTTACGAATTCCCAAATTAAACTGCGTTTTTCAAAAAGTTCCCCGACGCAAGGAATTTTAGAAACAGGACCTCAAATTTTGAAAAATTGTAAAAATGGCAGGGGGTATTACTGGCAAACGGATTCTTCGTTTGTTGTGGTGTAAACGCAATTTAAAAGTGCAACTCTTTATCTTAAAAACCCCATACTCAAAAAATTTTAAGATTTTTAAGGGACAATAAAATAAAAGAAAACAAAGCCGCAAACATTTTGTAACATAGCGAAATTTAACCGACTTTTTCTATTAAATATTTTCAAAATCGTTCTCCCATTAAAATTGAATAAATCCTACTCCTCGGTAGGTTTTCAACCACCTAGGTTTGATGCTCTGATATATTTTGGTTGAAATACATTTTTGTGACACCTCTGTTAAAGAGGTTTTGTAGCAGCATGGGTGGAAAAATAGAAGCTGGCTTAAGAGCATAACAGAAACGTGGGCCCCAGAAACCAAAGTTTGTTCCGTTTTTGATTACAGACTTGATTTTATTTTAAATACTTTTTAACAGTAAATATTTATAGGCATTTATAGACATATGCTGGATAAACATACATTGGATTTAATTGGGCTCTTTATACAGTACACAGATTACATTTAAATTGAATGTTAGTTGGACGAGTAGCTCGCCGCATCCTAAGATCTACTTGCACAGTAAGAGGTAAATGTGTTCTGTGATCGTGCCACATGCGACATTTTTGGCCACAGATGGACTATCCTAGCCAAGTACACGAACTGGTTAACTTAAAGACCTACGCATGGGAAATGGGGGAAGATTACAGAGTGCTGGACTGGTGACAATGAGTGCGATTCTGGGATATGGCTGCTAATACATTTGAAATGTCGTAAACTTAACTATGATCTCATGAGTTTCGCATCGCATCTAAGATGATAAAATATACACAATTAATATAAGCTGGGATGGAGGCATAATATGTGGGTGGGATCACGCTCCTTGGGCCGGATGCCTCGAACGATGCTCGTGGAATGTGGAAGCAGCGGCTGGCCATAAGTGCCAGAACTATCAAACGTTCGATCGGTTTGCATACGCCTAGTAGTTAGATGGTAGCATAACATTTAATTTAGACATAAATTTTGGTCTTAACAATCTAATTAAAATGTTAACATTTAATAATAGTTTTTCGCACACGCCTTTTGTTGATTATACATAGCTATAATTAGAATTGGTTGCATGCGCTATGATTGTTTGCCAAACTCTACTGATAGGTTTCTCGTTGACTTGATTTGCTTTGTTGCACATTGCATTCGCATCCGAGTGCACTTGGGTTGTCTGGTCAGCAGATTCTAGTCTGCTCCACACGCGAGCAGTGTTTGGTTGCCGTCCACAATTATTGGATTTCTGGGGCTCACTCCGCCGTGTTCTACTTCTGTATTGCTATTGGTGTTTTTGTGGTTGGATGCGCAAAGCAAACATCAGCAGGCAGTAGTCATAAATTGCACTTCTAACTAAACAGAATCGTCTGCAATAAACAATTAGTTGAGTTATGAGCATGAGGTCTTTAAGTGGAAAATCACGCATACGCACCGTGGTACCACCATTTAGTCTTTTTGGGATTCTTATTGCAGGTCTTTACGTAGAGCGTGTTGTCCGGCGGACGCTTCTTTTCGCGGCAACTGCTCAACATGGAGGCTATGCTAAGGCACACGGATTGCACGGACAGCGCCGGCGACCAGTCCTCGGTCAGAATGGATAGGCAGATGTGTCCATTGCTGTAGACATGTGGATGCACGGGTATATTGCTGCCGATGAAGGTCACCTGGCAGGCGAAAGAAAAAATTAACATCAACTTCAGTTGGCCTTTGTGCAAATGAATTATTACCTCTGGCGAATCGAAGGGATATTTATTATTAAATTTGAACAGCAGCTGGAAGTCCTCGCCCTCGTAAAGCGTGCCCTCGAAACCTTTAATGTTTATTTTCCATCTGTAAGCGAAAGAGAGTTTTGAGTGTCAGCCTCCAACAATGGCGGGCTCTGTTTTCAACGCAAGTGGCTGAATTAAGCTTATTTTTTGCATTTTATTTTATGTGCTTGAATTAAACCAGTTTCGGTTTTCGCTGAACTTGGCCCACTCTGCTCCGTAGTCTATACTTACTCGGATAAATTTTGCTGTACGCTTTCGGTGTCAACGGTAACGCCTGGCGGCGGCTCCTTGATCAGGGACATCAGCTCTTTGTGCAGGCGGCGCTGTGGAGGGCAACAAAAGTAAGTGAATTAGCTAATGACTTGGACAGTTCTTGGCTATATCTTATCACAGAACACACCTACAGCTGGGCCATTCTACTTAAGAGTTCTCAAGACTTATTTTTTCCGCCCGCCTTATCTGTGCGCCATTTCTCCATTGGCTTACAAACGCCAATATACGCTATATGGCGTGCACATAATACGCACATATATAGAACGAAAGGCCCGATAAGATAAAACAAATGTCACTGAAATTTATAGAACCGTCGATTGTTTTTCCGTCTTTCGGTTCTCCCTTATCGAGTGATTGCCACTTGCAGGGCCGTTTTCGAGACCATAAACAAGTACATACCCTTCTTTTGCTGGTAAATGGTTTGATCGATAAGGCCCGGAATTCGCGATGGCAAGGGAAACGAAAACAAATCTGAGAACCCACTTGAAAAAAGCAGAGAGAAATTACACAGATTTCTTAGAGCCCAAAATACTACGCACCCATGACGCAATGACACACTATTTATTTTCGACCAGCCGTTCGAACGTGATATCTGGCCAAAGTTCAGGTTTTATCTCTCGGATATACTTGCCTCCCATCGCGAGTTGTCCAACTGCAGTGGCTTGCCGCATTTCGAGACCGGCGGCGTTTTGGGTTCTTTGGGTTCGGTTATGATCTCCGACTTGGGTATCTTGTCTTTGGGTTTCTTGAACAACTTCAGCATTTTGCAGTCGTAATTGTCACAGTTTTTCACTAATTTGAATGCTAGTTCTGTCACCGATCACTTGTCAACAATATTTCACAGATTTTTCTCGAGTGCTAGACCTTTAAGTATTTTATTTAATGTGTTAGCTGGTTTCTACACTTCAATATGCCAGTGCTTTTCCCAGGAGCCAAGAGTGGGCGAGGGGCGCGGCAGACATTTTATTCGCGAACCGATTCTGGTCGACCAATTGCGGCAACGTTCGTGGGACGACTGCAGGAAAGCGCCGAGAAATTTGTGGGAGAGACTGCAGGGCGAGTCGAGTGACGAAGCCCGACGTTGCGACGTGTTTCGGTGTGCGTACTATCGCTTACTAAGTATGTAGTGAGTAGTCGTCGCATTCGGAAACTCATACCACCACAACCACCCACCTTCCCGCTCTCACCTGATCTATATATGGCTTGCACTATCAAAAATGAGAATTCGCAAGTGCAGCGAAACGGCCCAAACTAGTTTGTTAACCCGAACAAGTTAACCGCACAGCTGGTTTGATTCGTGCTGGGATTGTGTCTCCCAGATCACGAGATGGTGGCTTCCGTAGCCCCCTCGGCCGCAGAAGGTATTGGCAAAAACCCTTATCGGACCACTGCCCTGGCACGCAGCCATTACCTGATAAGCCCACGATTAGATTACGGCGATAGGCATGCCGATAAGGACATCTAGAGGTATATACATAAATACAGTGAGGGAAAAACTGTAGGATTCATTTCTTGAGAGCCAATGTAACGATATGTACATATTTTGTTATGAAAGGGAGAATATTAAAGCAGAACGATAAGCCTCAAGGAAAGGAAAAGTTGGAGTACAATCACGCTTATTATTTAATATTTAAATAATTTTACTTATGTAGACTTTATAGAGCTATTGAAGTTTGGTTTGGTTTTTAAACTACAATTTTTAAAAAATTATTCGCTCTCGATTTCCAGAATCCCACTTGTTTTTTAAAATTCCTCAAGCTGTTGACATTTTTTCCCAGTGCAAATACTCAAAGAATACGTCAATGGGGCATGCATTTCAATTGATGGAACAATGAGATCTTCGGCGCTTTCAAGTGAAATGAAGACGAGCGTCTGCTCGTGATTAAAAGCAATCAAGCTGCGCCCTAGAAGACGATCGATTATATAAGTCGGACTCTGGTTTGCAGCAAAACTGGTTCTAAATGAAGCGACAGATCGACAATCACTTAGCGGAGCCAATTAAAGTGGGCCCATAAAAGCACTAAGTTCCGCGGCCAGATAGATAGTAAGTGTGCTTGGACCCCAAAGGCCCCCAAATGCGAAATGCCGAGCACTGAAGTAGGCCAGACCAATAAACACGCGCCTCGCTCTGCGGGGGTTACTTGCGTTTATTTTAGACTCAATCAAATCTAGAGAGCAAAACAAAAGCTGCTTGAATCACCCAGAAATAAATAAATAAAAATGCAATTGAATGCCAAAGTCTAGGAAAAGAGCACTGGCAGGGAAATTTTATAAGCTCGTCGGCCGGCGGGGAGGGGAAAACCGAACAACAGCTAAACAATGGACTCGAAAAATTCTTCGGCAATAAAAGCCAAGCAGAGTGTAAACAAATAAACCAGCGACTGCCAGACTTTGGGGGCGGCGAAAGGGGGCTGTCTCTGTTTTTTATTTATTTCTTATTTTCCGAGAATATTTCTCTGGTAAACATAATGGCTGATGAATAAAGCGTGCCGTGGCAGAAATCTTTGTGGCTGATAAACGTTTTGGCAGCTGATAAAACCGCAAAATTTGGAGGTAAGCCAGAGGGTGAAGGACGATTAGCGTAGGCATAAACATATGAGATGTGGGTGGGGAACTTATTTGAAACGGGGGCGGCCCATCGAAATGTTTTGGAAATCGCATTGGCTGGCCAACCTTGGGCTGTGAATCACTCGCCAGGCGAAAATAAACAAACCCAAGCCAGCACTCTGGCCAAATTATGCAACTGGGAGGCCCAGAGACCCGGCCCGGCCCCAAAAAGCCATATAAAGCGATTTCCTGAACCGGAGAAATGCTAAGCGCATTACGGTAAAGGTGAAAGCGGAAGAACCGGGGGCGTGGGGTTGATTATACAGTCGCTGCAACCTTAAACTTGCCGAATGAGCCACCTTCGCCCTTCGCCGGCGGTCGATAAATCATCTAGTACGTCATCACCGCACACCTGTGACGTCAGAGATCGAGCTGTGGGGCGTTATAAATACACGAGAACCTGATGCGCCAGTTTCGGCTTTATCATCAAGCTGAGGAGAGCGACAATCGACATGTGTCACGTTCGCGGCGGATGAGCAACAAGTTTCAGACCGCTTCTAGAGCATCTCCTTCGGCCGATTGCCGCTGAGATAGAAGCTTATAGCTATTTCGAAATCTGCGAAACGTAAGCCATCGAAACGAGGACGTGTTATTGTTGCGGACACGTGAAAGGCGTGTGCAATTACAATATGCGATACATGTTGCTGGGAGGAAAAGACAACGGCACTAGCCGCAATTAAATTAAAATTAAATTAAATGTATCGCAATTTGCAAACGATTTGAACACAAAGGTGTCTCTCCTCTGTGCTCAAGGCGCTCTACATTGAAAGGCGATTGGAAAACTGATGAGGAAAGTGGAAGATTGCTCTTAACCCCGCTTAAATTGCGCAGGTAAATTTCTATGCGATTAAATCTGCCGATCAGCGATCACGTTTCGCAGGTCAGCGACTTCAAGAATCCGCCCTTTTTCAGCAACCTTATCAAGTTTTTCAGTGAGATGTATGACTGGCTTACGGTACTGCCTTTTAAACTCCCCCATTAATCGCTTATGGGCTCGCGGGAGTGCTAATAAGGCAAATCACTTCCTTATGGCGATGCTTTGTTATGCCTGATATTCTTTGTGATCGAATCGCGAAATATGCCCATGCATATTTCATAATGCCAGATCAATTCGGAGGCCTGGTACATCTTGATTTTCAACTACAGTGGGGCTTTTATAGCACGAACGCTCTTAAATAGCATTCTTTGACTAGATGATTTACATTTAAATTGGTCTTTTGCATATGCCTAGTTTGAAAACGTTTGTTTTCGATCAACTACTCAAGTTGGCTAAAATCTGATAGTTTGTTTGAGTTATATGTAGAGCTTCGCCTGTAGATTCCTGCCATAGCATTTTAAACTGGTTCTGCGGAATGGTAGCTTTTGCTTGCCGATTATTTATAGAGTCCTAATGGCTGGGAGCGCCGCCCAATTAATATGCCGAGCGCGTGCCAAAAAATTCTAAATCGAGGGGACGGAAACGAGGATCCATGGGAAAAGCTGTTGGCCACCGCTGATCGATTGTTTGCTAATGCTGAACCTGCACAATTTGGATCTGATTTCGAGTATTTCGGCTCGTGAATTTCGCGTCACGGAGAATCTGGCAGAGCGGCGCGTGCGAATTCGCGTGGCACCGAGAACTGAATGCGCGCGTTGTCACTGGCGATGAGCTTCTATTTTCGGCGGACGGGCGAGCGATCCGAGTGAGCCGTATATATATAAGAGACAAAGCTTGGGAGCAGTGATGAGAAAGGTGCTAAAAAAAACCTACAATATCCACCAGGAACCTAACTAGGTAAGGATTTTGTATACAAGATATATTATTTCTTGATACTGAAATAATAGAAAAATAACTTACTATATCTAGTAGTGATAAAAGTTACAATGGAATTTATTGCTTTTATTTTTGATGATATAACTTGGAAACAATGATGCAGTGACAAAAGGAAATATACAAGGGTATGTACAATTTACTATACCCTTAGATTTCCCGTATATAAATGGCTTTCCCAACTGCAGCACAAAATTTAAAGTTATATCTTCAACTATAAGACATTCATATGATATGACGGAAATGTACCCGGGCACTCCCCATCTCAGGTTAAGGGCACCCCGGATAGCGATGAGCTGGCTAGGATCGAAGGCTTTAGCCACAATGCAAGTGCATTGTTTACGTGGCATAAACAAGCATTCCGGCCAGAGGGAAAGTGCATTGGATGCCGTGCAAACATTTGGCCAGTGGGAGGCGGATGTCATTGGGGTTTGCCGACTGTGGGTGGCGCAGACGGCAAACAGCGGGTCGATTGCCGGGTTCGTAATTAGCGACAGGGGTCGGACGACCTCGACCTGCAGAAACCATTTCAATTATATAATAACAAGAGCGGGGTTCCTAAGGAAGCTGGACTGGGTGCTATCATCGTAGATGCGTCACTTTTTCAGCTCCGAGTCGTTGGAACGATAAGATGACGTTGAACCCTCTCGCGGGGAATGGAAACTCGAAGTGCGACTGCGGAAGGGAAACCTTCTGTTGCTGGGATCGTAAACATTTGCCCAGCTGCTTGGTAAAACCCCCGTACTTTGGAAATGGAAGTCGCAAGACCCCCGATAACTCACCTCGCTGGGCGACATCGAAGACATCCTACTACTGGTCCTGGGCAAATCCGTCCTGATATTCCTGCCGCTGACTGCTCCAAGTCCAAGTCCTGGCTCCTCCGCTCGCTGGCTATCGCTTCCGTTTCCTGCGTGGCCGAAATAGTCGGTAATGGCTGGTTTTTGTAGTTTTGCTAGGCAAATGTTATTAGAAAAATAAATATCTGAGCGGACAGTGTGACCCTCGGGCAGTGTTGCAAAGCGCCCGCGCATCGCACGTACCAACTGTGTACGAAGGCAAAAAATACCGCACCCAGCTGTTCCGCGCCTTTGGTATTTTTGTGGAACCTCTCTGAGCGCGCCGGTAGACAAAGAATTTGATTTTTACACTAAATACAATTATTTTAACTAGATATTACACTCGGATGTGCCTTTTGACAAGTAGTTCTGATGGCAATTTTGGAAAATTGCTGTGAACTTCACGGAAAACGGAGCTTGTCGGAGGGCTTACAAACAGCTGTTTCAACAGAGAACTTTCGAAGTACAGTGGTAATCCGACTGAAGAGATTTAAGAAGGTTGAAGAACAACAATTTTAAAAACCTTTTAGTGTACAGATAAGGAATTCTCAATCGTTTTCATTTGTGCTTAATTTATATTATTTAATTTATTTGAACATCATTTTTGTGCATACTCTTTTAACGAGAAAAACATTTTAAAAATAGATGGAGAATCCCTGCTTTTGAATAACCCAATTTATAAAGGCTACATTTCTTAACTGTTTGTCAATTTTACACGTTTCTAGTATCGCTTCATAAATTGAAAAACCCAGTATGTTTTCATTATTATCATTGATCACTGTACTCAACCATAATAAAAACAATGGAAAAGAGCGTTTATTGCACCTACGATAGGGAGCAGTAAAGTTTATCATCCCTGGAGGCGCGATGTTGAGCGGATTTGATAGGAAGCTGATAAGGTGCAGCTACTATCTTCACAAGTACCTTTAAAAGCACGCGCTGCAGGTCGCCGCTCTCAGTGCCAAACTGCCTTCCATCGGAATTGGGTAATCAGCGCGAAGTGGATCCAGAATGCATTTCGGAGTCTTGGGTAGCGGTATCATCGGTCTTACGACCGCCCTGGAACTCCAGAGGGAGTTTCCCACGGCTCGGGTTTCCGTGATAGCTGATCGTTTCAACGAGGATACGGTAAGCTATGTGGCGGCTGGGATCTTCCGTCCGGGAACCAGCTTCATGGGCCCCACCCAGGAAATTACGCAGTGAGTATCTGGCTGAGATTTACCCCTTGTTATAGAGTGAACAGAGGGTTTATTTTCCTCTCAGACAATGGATGACAGATGCCTTCAACTACTGGGATGAGCTGCGTCGCTCCAAGGAGGCTCCTTTGGCAGGCGTTTGCCAGTTGTCCGGCTATATTTACTCCCGCACCTCGCCCAACATCGTACGGGTACGAACAAATGTTGCCGGGCAGGCCCCCCTATCAGCGATTCTAATCTCTCATGCTTAATTCGATTAACTTTCTGTTTGTTGCCTCAGAACCACTTTATTGAAAAGCTACTGCCCGTCTACCGGAGGGCCACGGAGGAGGAACTGAAGCTGTGCCACGGCGGCTGGAAGTACGGATCTTTCTTCACCACCTGCCTCACGGAGAGTCGTCTTTTCCTGCCATATGCCACAAAAAAGTGAGTTCCTTGGATATGTCTGGGATTTTGTATTTATTAGAAATACGTCTATCTAACGAAATCCTCGTAGATTCCTGGAGAACGGAGGTGAGGTGGTGCGCCAGCACGTGAAGAACTTTTTCGAGGTTCCGCAGAACTTCGACGTGCTGCTCAATTGCACCGGAATGGGGGCCAAGGAGCTGTGCGGCGACCAGCACCTGGTTCCCATCCGTGGGCAGGTGCTCAAGGTCCGGGCTCCCTGGGTGAAGACTGCCTTCTACGGCGACTACGATACCTACGTCCTGCCCGGATTCGAAACGGTAACACTGGGAGGATGTCGCCAGTTCGACAGTTACAACACCGACTGGTGCAAGTACGACAGCATGGCCATTCGGGAGCGGTGCTACGACCTGTTGCCCAGTCTCCGGAAGGCGGAGATCGTCCGGGAATGTGTGGGCCTGCGTCCGCACCGCTCGGTGGTTCGGGTGGAACCGGAACTGATCTCAAATCCGGAGGGCAGGCGGCTGAAGATCGTCCACAACTACGGACATGGCGGCTACGGCGTGACTACGGCTCCCGGAACGGCCAAGTACGCCGTGGGATTGGTGCGCGATCTGCTGGCTGGAAACAGTAAACTGTAGGTGGTAAACTCGTTGTTAATTGTTGGTCATTAAACTCTTTATACTCCGAATCTTTGAACCCTGATTTGATTTGGCCTATTTACTGGTCCATAAACTGATACCAGTCCTCAAGTTTTCGACTAGCGTCAGGTCACAAAGTTTAAAAATAATTTAAGAATCTAAGTAATTACTAGCTAGCAATATTAAATGCTTATAGAATATTATAAAATATTTTTAAGCACTATGGTTAACAACAGCTTAGCTTGAGAAATATCAAATTATAATTACTTTTAATTATGTACTAAATAGAGTACCCCTTCTAGATGGACACATTCCACAGTCGTCATTGCAATTTCGAAAGCATTTTTTCAAAGCTATTTTTTGTCCATCTTGTGCTATATTACCATAGTTTTTTATTTATTGTTGAATAGCTTTAGCACCAAGCTTTAATGTGCCAACCCATATTTTTTTTAATTACCTTGGCGATGTATAAGAAATTGAAAACTAAAGCCATTATGCTGGGGTAATTCGGGGGGTAAAATCGACACACCACTGGGGCAATTTCGCCTCATGTAAAAATGAATCGAATTTAATGCCTGTAAATATGCTACACTGATCAAGCGTAGGATCAAATATTAAATGCAACATAGTCGGTGGAGCTTAATTTTTCTAGTAAACATTTTATTTTATTTGTTCAATCGCTTCCGAAATCGCTCCTTATTTAGTTTTCCAGCCTTTTATTTTTGGCGGCTTCAGCCAAGGAAGCCTACGAGGTCTGCGGACGATATTGCATAAGCAGCCGCTAGGAAAGCCACAATACGAAAGGAGATGGCGAAGTGGGATGACATCTCTGGTTCTGTCTGTCGCTCTCTGTACTAAAGTACTGACCGGACTATGGATGGATCACGAGTATTTATAGGAAATATCTCATTGTTGGCGAAACTGTGCTTGATCTAAGTCATCGTACGGGACTTTAGTTGTCAAGTCTGGAAATGGCTGTGGAAAGTTTCAGTTTATGTTTAATTTAGCAATGAAGTATTTTTAGATTTGTTTGCAGTAGACTATTTTTATGTAGTGTGCAAACACAGGTACAACGTAAGTTTCTGTACCAGCGTAAGTTTCTATACCCTTTCAGAAATTCTGAATTAATAAAAAAAATGATATTTCCAATATAATATGTATAAAACACAAAAACTGTAATTGTGTTTTCCAGTATTTCTTCGATCATTCCCTGGGACCCAAAAGGTATCAGACTCTTGGGAAACTAGTTTGCTTAGAAACGAAGTTCGGGCGAACTTCATACTGATATCATTATAATCTCTGCAAGGGTATAAAAACAAGAGGCTTATTTTATAACGTCGTGATAATCAGAGGTGTCCCTGATAAATCTAACATCCATAAAGCAACCCAATTGCAAGTATTGGCTTCCTTGAATTTTGCGTTGAGCTGATTTCAAGTGTAAATATTTTATCAGACTTTTTTTTGTTGATACGGGCTTTTAAAAAAAATGTATCAAGTTTAAATCAATACTGAATACTCTCGTCAACTTTTGGACAACACTCCCCAAGCAGTATAAATGTATAAAGAACTAAACCGAATATCGAATCATCAAATGTTCAGGGAATTCTTCAATCAGCAGCTGAACTACGGGTTATCGGTGCTTAAAATAAAAGTATTTTAGAAGCGGCCTCTTAAATTGTCACTTTGCTCAAGGCACTGGAAGGGATTCAAAATTTAATTAAATTAATTTACATTTATGAAATAAATGTATAATTAACTCCAAAATGGCTTTTGTATTGTAACTCTGTGATAAAACACTAATGTTATAGGGACACATCTGAATGAGGGATGTCACAGAAACCCTCGGTTTTTTTATACCCGTTTACTCTACTCTGTGTAAACGGGTATATTGTATTCGTGCAAAAGTATGTATATTAAAGTTAGAAGGAAGCGTTTCCGACCCCATAAAGTATATATGTATATTCTTGATCAGGATCACTAGCCGAGTTGATCCAGCCATGTCTGTCTGTCTGTCTGTCCGTATGAACGTTGAGATCTCGGAAACTACAAAAGCTAGAATTACTGGGATTACTCACACATATTCTTGGGCTTCCTATGCAGCGCAAGTTTGTTTCAGCCGAGGGCCACGCCTCCTCTAAGGCCCACAATCGCCTTAAACGAATTTAAAAGGTGTCTGGTGTCCACACCTTTAAAGATTTCGGAAAAAGAAAAATTCAGTTTTTTTATACCCTTGCAGAGGGTATTGTAATTTCAGTCAAAAGTTTGCAACGCAGTGATGGAGACGCTTCCGACCACATAAAGTATATATATTCTTGATCAGCACCAATAGCCGAGTCTATCTAGCCATGTCCGTCTGTCCGTCGGTCCTTCTGTCCGTCTGTCCGTTTCTATGCGAACTAGTCTCTCAGTTTAAAAGCTATCGCTATGAAACTTTCCCAAAAGTCTTTGGGAACTAGCCGGATCGGACCACTATATCTTATGGCTCCCATTGGAATAATCAACAAAATAATAGGAACAAAAAAGTTTAACTTTGTAGAAAGTAGGCGTTTTTTAGGCATACCTGCAAGGGTATAAAAACTTCGGCTGGCCGAAGTTAACTTCCTTTCTTGTTCATTTTTTAATACCTATCGAAATGTAGACAAATTTTTTCAAATCGGACCATTTGTTAAAAAGTTATACCCGTTCAAAGTTTTATATCTCCATCTTCCTCGCACTCCGTTTATCTGAGTAACGGGTATCTGATAACGTTCTCTCTTGCTTTCATTTGCTTTCTAACGGCTAATAATGAACGTAATAATGAAGTCAATGTATTCTTCAACCGAGTGGTTTTTAATTTTAGGTAATGTATATATCTATCAGTGTGCCAAAAATAGTTTTTAACGTACCCCTAGCTATGCAAGTTGACTGCCTTGACTTTTTTTTTGCGAAGAAGTAAGTTTATCTACGGTGCTGAGAAAGCAAGTGGTGAATGTCGAGTATTAAGTGGGTAAAGTGGGATTGGCGCCCAGGTCGGATTTCAAAAAAAGTGCTGCACCAGTGCTCCAAAGAACTCCAGGGAAAGGGTGTGCGCATGTCCGGCGCATGAATGGAAAGCTCCCCCGAAATCGCCGCGAAAGCTACGCCCACACACGGAGACCCATCGATTTTCAGCAGCAGGAAAAGCAGCAGGGAAATTGTGTGGGCAGCAGCAGTAGCCAGCCAGCCAGTCAACCAGTCATCCAGCCAGCTAGTCAGTTAGTCAGTCAGCCAGGTGAAACAGTTAAATTATGAAAACGTATACAAAACTGGCCCGTTTTCGCCGCATAAGTCAATTCGCCGCCTGAGAGCGAAGGAAAAATTGTGTGTCCTTTGGTGTCGACGTGTCGAAGCGAAAAGGTAGAAAGGCAGTTGGTGCGTTGCATTTTCTGAATAACTGAGCCAGTGCAGCCAAAGCCAGAGGAATCCGGGCCACACGATAGGGTCGCGGGCGTGTGAATAATTGATTGGATAACCGTAAACAAATCGACGAACCAGTCGACACGGAATCGCGGCGTATGTCAGTCCAGTGCCAAGGCTGAGTCGAGTCCTCTTCCATCGCCTTCTCCCCCAGCGAAAGGAGCTGCCATTATCGATTTGTGTGTATGTGCGAGCAACAACACAGCGGACCCCTCACCCACACGTCGACAGCAGTGGGATACTCTTGTGGCAGCAGGATCTGCACCAGCAGCAGCAACTGAAGCAGCAACTGCAACATCTGCAGCAGCAACAACAGCAACCGCAGCAACCTCAAGACAGAGTGAGTGCATTTGACACATTAAGTATACGACACGAGTGACCAAAGGTGGGGGATTGCGGGTGCCACTCACTCGCAGATGAAATCACAGCCATCTTTCGTATTGCTTACACATGCCGTTTAAACTTGTCTATGCTAACTGCCCTGAACGGTTGAAGTATATTGTTTTATTTTGATTTACTGAAATTCAGCTTACAAAGTAAATAAGACCTCAAATTTGTAATTTCCAGTAGATATGTTTCATTTCTGTTATGTAGAAGAACTTATGTTTCCTTTAAACTATAAATTGTTTTATATAATTTAAAGTCCAAACTAGAAATGGAAAATTATCTTTGCAAATTTCAAAGCAGCCACCTTTTTATTTACTTACCACGTAACAACTTGGAGATTTTAATCCAACCATCATCCTTGACTATTTGAACTGCCATCAGAATCACAGAATAGCCAATTGATAGACCCAACTTGGGTCATTTCCATCGAAATTGCCCAACTGAAACCAGGCTTGAGCTCGATTTTGGGCCCATATTGGGTTTCTTATCAATAATTAAACTAGCCCGCAGCTGCTGTCCGCTCAACAGCTGCCTAATCATTGGAAATTTGAAACATGAAAGAGCAGTTGAGGGGGTGGGAAATGGGGGGTTCAGCAGCCACCCCCATGCGGAGGGAAAAACAACAGAAAAAATCGATAATTACACGCAGCCGAGCAGATAAAAACATTTCCACACACCGCCTCTGATAAGAGCCGTCGTCTGCCGTTTGGAGACCTCTTGTTTCTGCCCCCTCCTAGGGCTGGGGGCTCCCTCCAGGATATTTCTGGGCTTGAAGAGGCTTGACAGGAGCGAAGCCCGTCCTTTTGCCAGCAAAATCCTTGACGATGACGCGCGCACTCGGTCCTTTTCCAAGCAAGTCGTTCATCAGCAATCTGACAGCATTTTGCCGCTGCGCAACTTTTGATTCTGCGAGGGAGCAGAGGACAGGGAGGGGAAATAAGGATGAGCGGAGACGGAAACAGGAGTTGGCTATATACACAAATTATCGACACAATGTCGCTGCCTTGCATATGAAAAGCAAGCAAGCGAGCAGCCAACCATCCCGAATGGCAAACTGTAAGCCGAGTCTGTTGTCACTTGGCCAAGCCAAGGCTGAAAGTTTTCAAGGCCGCACCAGCCAGCCCACTCCACCGCTTAGTTTTCCCAGTGACGTGACAGGGATAATCAAGTGGGTCCCCCCTCCCTGGGGTTAAAAGTCAAGGGGACTGGTGGTTATGCTTCAGAAAATATAAACGCAACTTGTTTAATCCACGCTCACGCGATTCCATTGGTTCCCGGCACACAGTGAGCAGCAGTTGGCCCCCAGTTGGCCTTGACCGGTGTTCCATGTACTCCGCGTACTCCATCCTCCCCCGCCAGTTCTTCGTGCAGCTTGGACCACAAATGGAGTGTCTATGGATGACAGAATGGTTGTAAAACGGATGTGTCCTAGTCGACCAGCTCGATGCGTACCCCGATATTGACGCCATCGCCCACTCCACTGAAGGCATCGGCCTTGCAGCCGTTCTGGCCACCCATTCCCATGCCCATTCCCATCATTAGCTCCTCCGGAGCATCCAGCTGAATGCCACACTTGTGCTTGGACTCGCTGCCACTGCTGAAGATCACAACGCCAGGATTGCGAAGGGAACTCTGACTGGGATTCTGAGTGGATGGAGGCACCGCCGTGGGGATCTCCTCTTCCCCCGGCGAATCCTTGCGCATCAGCGTGGTCATGCAGATGCTGGTGTTGCTGCTACTGGTGATTATGGTAGTGGTATCGATGGTCTCCACCAGCTGACCCTCATCCTCGGAGGCAGCGATGGCCGCCGCTTCGCATTGCCGCTGCCTTTCAAGATCCCGCTCCCGCTGCCGCTCCAACTCGCGCTGGAGTTCCGCTTGCTGCTCCTGCTCCTGCTCCTGTTGCACCTCCTGCTCCTCCTGAGCCTGCTGCTGGCAGAGCTCCACGTGCATCCTGGCCAGCTGGGCGGCATCGTAGGGACAGAAGCAGTTGAGGCTGACCACCCGGTTGCCCATGTGCTGGACTGGTCGGCAGTTGCGGGTTATGGGCGAGATGCCGTCCGGGCCGAGGAGCAAGCGGAAGTGGCGCAGCTGGAAGTCGCTGATGGCCAGGGACTCGGGGAAGATGAACCACTCGGTGCCCTGGTAGCAGGGCGGATGGGTCAGCGAGCCGCCGTAGGAGTAGAATCCGGTGCGAAACGGGTACATCAAGTAGGAGAGCGGGAAGGGCGGGATCTGGACCCGCTTTCCCGGCTGCTGCACCTGGCGCAAGTTCTGCACCAGGGGATCCAGGAACGGATTGTGGGCGGACAGCTCGAAGACGTAGCCGATCATCAGGAGGTCGTAGCTACTGGTGCAGCTCCTGGGAGTCCCCGACCCGGCGCGGTGCATCACCTGCATCTCCAGGGGAAACTTGCGGTGGTTAATCGTGTGCTCGGAGCCCTCGCTGTTGCACCATCCCCAGTGGAAGCGCAGCTCCAGGAACGTGTAGCTGGCCAGCAGATCTGCCCCGCTGATGGTGGGTGCATTGCCGTGGAACTGGGCCCGCAGGATCAGCGTGTGGCCCGTGTTCTCCAGCTGGATGCTGGCGGGCAAGTCATCGTAGTGGTTCCAGTTGAGCAACTCTCGAATGGCCAGGCGCTGGATTTGGCTCTCATCGATGTTGACGGGACTCTGGAAACAGGTCTCCTCCCTGGCCAACCAGGTGTGCGGACCGTGGTCCATATCGTAACCATATCCTGAAGCAGGATAGCTTGAGCACGATCCAAAGATGTAGGAGCTCCCAAATCGCAGGGGCAGCCTCGCCCAAAGTAGAACCCGCTGATAGGCCTCCCTTAGTGACTCCTGATCCGCGTGGTAGGCAAATCCCGCCAGCAGGCAGAGTCCAGTGGTGATCAGTGGATGCTCGACTATTTGCACCAGGACCTGGCCAATTATCAGGCAAATCAGCTGCGCCATCAGACCCAAGACGGTTCCCAATGAGGTGTCAAACATTTTGTGGCCAGTAGATCCGGTCTTGCATCGGGTGTATAAATGCTGGGTAAAAAGAATCTGCAAGTGCAGAAACGAGCCAAACAAGAAACTCGAGAACAAAACTTTCAGCTCCCTTTAGATTTCCAATTAATTTATCCGTTGCTTTCTTACTGTGCCTTATGAGAATGTGTTTATGTGACTGAGTCCCGATACGAACTAGTGTCTTACAGACAAGGTGACAGACAAGTCTAGGCAGCTACTGTGACCAGTTCCAGAGATCTTATGATTTAATTTTCGGTTCGATATTGTAGTACAGAAGCTCATTCCGAAAAAACTAAGTATATTAAAAATCTATATTATTATACCCGTTACTCGTAGAGTAAAAGGGTATATTGTATTCGTGCAGTAACAGTAAGTATGTAACAGCTAGAAGGAAGCGTTTCCGACCCCATAAAGTATAATATTCTTGATCAGGGTCACTAGCCGAGTCGGTCTAGCCATATCCGTCTGTCCGTGTGTCCGTCTGTATGAACGCTGAGATCTCGGAAACTTCAAAAGCTATGATGTTGAGATTTTCCACACATATTCTTGGGCCTCCTACGCAGCGCAAGTTTATTTCAGCCGAGCGCCACGCCCCCTCTAACGCCCACAATCGCCCACTAACGATTTTAAAATGTGTCCTGCGCCCACATCTTTAAAGATTTCCGAGAAGTATAAATGCAATTTTGTTGTGTATATTTATACCTATCGAAATGTAGAAGACATTTTTCAAATCGGACCATTCATTATGTCTATCTCCCTCGCACTCCCTTTAGCTGAGTTACGATTATAGTCGGGACACCAACCCGAGTACAGCGTTCGCACTCCCTTTAGCTGAGTGAAGGGTATTAAATAGTCGGGACACCAACCCGACTATAGCGTTCTCTCTTGTTATTTTATTATTTTTAATCGAGGTGGCTAGGTCAATCTCACCGGGAGAGTGTGCGAAGGCGATTGAAGAAAAAAATTAAAAGACATTCAAATCTAATGGGATGGTCCGATCCAAGTGATACACAAATCGAAAGGTGTTGCAAAAAATAAAGGGATTGCATACGAAGCCTTTAAAAATTTCAATTGCGTTAGGAGAAAGAGCGGTGAAACTGTATGTTGAAAGTAAAAATTATGACAATTTTATCTGTTAAAGTTGAGGGTGATTAATACCCCAAGTTATTAGTTGTAATCTTACTTACAACAAGTTGTCTTACTGAAAATTCGCGCTGAATGACACCTCATTTTTACATCCCGAAGCTCCGTTCGAAAGCTATTCCAATAACAAGATTTTAGATGACTTTCCAAAATGAAACTGTGTTTTTTGTTTGTGCAAATGCATCAATCGTGGTTGTAGGATCCTTAACTTAATATTAGAAAGTGTATTTATGTAGTCGAATATAAATTTTAAAATTAATTTGTTTTAGTTTTAGCTTTGTATGTGTTATTTATAAGTACCGGTTCCTCCTTTTATATAACTAGACACCGAATTATATGCAAACAAGTATTTATGGGTATATTTTAAATTACAAAACAAAACTGGTACTTCAATCTAGTTTTTGATCCCTTTTTGTAAATTTTAAAACCATCTCATCTTTATAGCACCGCTCTAAACAGACATAATGGCGAGTGGCGGAGACCCCAAGTGGCAGAAGGATGCCGCCGACCAGAACTTCGACTACATGTTCAAGCTGCTCATCATCGGCAACTCCAGCGTGGGCAAGACCAGCTTCCTCTTCCGCTACGCCGACGATAGCTTCACATCCGCCTTCGTCTCCACGGTGGGCATTGACTTCAAGGTGAAGACCGTCTTTCGGCACGACAAGCGCGTAAAGCTCCAGATCTGGGTGAGTATATATATTGTCGGTTTTATATTCGGGTTACAACGCTGCCTACTTTTACGGGTACTTGGGATGTGTAGAACTTGTTTGACCTCGATTAGTTTTGTGGGGGCGAATGAATCATCCGGAGGAGAGCATTAAACCGGAAAGCTGAGACATTGATTTATTGATTGGGCATCGCCACGGCTGAAGGCGCAGGTGAGCGCCCTCTCGAGAGTCCTTGTTGTGCGATACCAGTCTTGTTTTCAGTCATCAATTAAGGGAATATAATCAATTAAGAGAACTCAGTGGGGACTGTCGTTACAGCTTATTGTTTATGTGGTTAATGTCGAGATGAGATGAATTCATTAAGGCCTAATGAAGTTTTGATTTCTCAATCTATGTGAGTTGTTTAACCGCTTGTAGTAACGAGTAAAGTAGCCAAAGTCAAGTCCTAATGAATGATCTATTGAAAGGTTTTGACCGATATGAGTTGAGTAGATGATCTGAACTTAAAATAACTTCTTTAAGAACATTTTAGCAGAGAGAATACTGTTTCTTAGCAACTTCCATCATTGAATTCGGTTATCTATATTTCAGGACACGGCTGGACAGGAGCGGTACCGCACCATCACCACAGCCTATTACCGTGGAGCGATGGGCTTCATCCTGATGTACGACGTTACCAACGAGGACAGTTTCAACTCGGTCCAGGATTGGTAAGTGCTTACAGATGCGAAAAGTAATCGGTTCTTCTAACATTCTCCTGATTCTTTAACCAAAGGGTAACACAGATCAAAACCTATTCGTGGGACAACGCCCAGGTGATTCTGGTGGGCAACAAGTGCGACATGGAGGACCAGCGGGTGATCAGTTTCGAACGTGGTCGCCAGTTGGCCGATCAACTGGGTGTGGAATTTTTCGAGACGTCCGCCAAGGAGAACGTGAACGTCAAGGTGAGTTGGAATCGATTAAGGCTAGCCAGATTTCCGGATAAACTCCCAAATGTTCGCTTTCAGGCTGTTTTCGAGCGATTGGTGGACATCATCTGCGACAAGATGTCCGAGAGCCTGGACGCGGACCCGACGTTAGTGGGCGGCGGCCAGAAGGGCCAGAGGCTGACGGATCAGCCGCAGGGCACGCCCAATGCCAACTGCAACTGTTAGAGCCCCGATGGGAGGATGGGAGGACGGGGGATCCTGCAGCACCACGACAACAAACCACATCCGTAACAACCATAGACAACAGAATTTGAAAACTAGCTAATTAGTCAGCATTGAACAGGGGATTGCAACTAATCCTTCAGTAAGCCGACGATGACGGTTCGGATACCGATGAAAAGATAATGATGATATAGCACTATGTTTGTATCGATATGTGTATGTATATCCTTTGCGTTCGCTCGCCTCAGTGTAAATGTCAAATGTTATTTAATCCGATGTTTGAATTGTAACCTGTAATTTGTAATTTGTAATTGGTAATTTGTAATTCGTAAACTGTAAACTGTAATTTAATTGGCTGTCCGCGGCGTTGAAACATTTGTTGAGTGTGTGAATTGAGTTGAATTTATTCAAATTGATAGATCGAGATCGAGTTGATAGTTCGAGAAATTGAAAAAGAGCAAAGAATTTAACGAAAGCCCGATTTGACGGTGATTCGGCACTAATTAAGCATGCACCCCGAGTGCTGATTACAGTCATTTGATTTGCGACCCCGCCACAAAGGGGTCAAGAGGTCAGGAGGTCAGTCAGCACGAGTATTTCGAACCGTTCTCCACATCCACATGTATATACGCTGGCTAAACTGTACAGTTTGAGATGCTTGACGAAACGCACAAAGCTAGCGAATCGGTGAAATCGAACAGAAACTATACTAACTACTTAGTACACCCCCTCCACACACACACACCCATGTATATGTATGGATACACGCAAACACACATAAGCAAAGAGCACTGAAAACACAAAGAACACACCGGAAACGGATATAGTTATACCCTGAATACCCGGCTTGGAGCATTCTAGCAAACACAAAGAAATCGGCTGAGTGGTAGGCCGTTATTATTAAATATTATGATTATTATTATTATGTACGTATGTATTTATGTAGTGAAATGGAAAATTTTAATGTGTTGCAAATGATAAAAGAAATATATACATCAAATATACATGTATCGCATAGAGTACTACCCAGACCCAGAGCTACATAGCTACAGAGAGGTAATCGCAGTTTCCTGTTGCCCGAAAACCCCATTACGAACACCTTCCAACGGGCCAGAGTGACAATAACCCGCAGGAGATCAGGAGCACTGGTATCCAGAATCCCCTCCCCCGAGGTCAGGCAACTGCAGGTTAAATTTCCCCCACCACTTTTTGATTTTCCTTCCCCTCGAGACTGTTGCGAACTGAATCCGGATTGCGAGTTACTTGAACCCACCGAGCCAGCTGAGAGATCGGTGCATTTAATTTGCCAGACCCTCCCAACACTCAACACCCAAAACCCAAGACATCCCAACACCCCCTTTTATATGCACACACCACCCACTTTTCTACCTGTATACTATGTGTTTATGGTACGCTATACAAGGCTTTCCTTTGTTACCGCTTTGATGACACAACAAACCGCTGCCGAGACTAAATTTGAACGAGGACTTTAGGCGGGGACAAGGACTTTGACTTTGACTTAGGGGTCTAAAACTGCTGAATCTAAATATGTAACTGAATATATTATATGTATTTGCCAATGCTCGTTAATGTTAAATATGTGTACAAGCAGAGTTTCACTTGAATTACGATTAAATTAAAGGCATATCGCTGTATTATAAATACCCAAAACGAAGACAAAACGAAACGATACGGAAGACCGAACCCGCACCCAGGAAAATGCCAGGAAAATTCACAGGAAATGCACAACGAGTTGCTAAGTGCCAGAGTGGGACAGAGGGGAAGGAGGCTGGGCTATGGGATTTGGGATATGGGATTTGAGAAAGATAATGAAGTTAATGATTCTATACGAAAATGCCTTAAGCCAGCGACGCAGGTCGCTGATTGGTCTTTTTGGCATTCGAACTGTTTTGTAAAATAATTAATCATACAACTTGCATAACCACTCCTTCAAGTATTTGTCTTTGTATTCGTGTGTGGATTCGCTTTTAGTCAAGCCCCAATTAAATAATCCAACCCAATTAAACTAAACCGAACTAAACTAAACTATAACAAAAGTAAAACCAAAACTAGAACGGAGTAAAATCAAAGCAAATAAAACAAATGTAAACGAGAAACAATTGTTGATGAATTCGTGCATAGGCATAACGCAAGCATTTTTGCGCTACATTGTTGTCATTTAAACCAATACTTAGCATATTGATTATTGCATTGTGTACTCGCTAAACCAAATATTTGTAAACCCTATGAAAACAATTCCAATTCCAAACACAGTGGCATTATTTGTATTCCATTTGAATTGCAACAAGAATAACCCAACTAGGAAATGTGTACAAGAACGTCAAAATAAAATAATTCAATATATATTATTCAATGATGGTTTTTAAACACTAACACACATCTGCATACCCGTACTTATGATGATAATAACATAGATATACAGATACACACATATATACATAATATACACATAATGGTATTGAAATTATTGTATTCCCATAATAAAATATATGCAAAAGGTGTATGGTAAACAAACAATGAATGTTTGTGTCTTTCTATGGCGGAAAACAATAAAACAAATATTCAATTTAAATCAATACATAAGCGAAGGGAATATTGTGAAAAATACATGTGGGCACTTCCAAATTGTCGATTTTAATATTAATAATGGACTTGACCTTTCATTCTTCCCAAGCTCATTTTGTGTAAAATCTTGATTTTGTAACACTTTTAGTTTTTAAGATATCGTTAAAAAACTGCCGTATAAGTTCGTTCATCACCAGATTTTATCGAATTCTGATGGAATATTTTATTTCGATTTTTTTTTAATTGCTGTGCAATTATGTCAACAGTTAACCTGTAAAAAAGCATTCAGTTTAGAAAAATTTCACATCTAAGCTTTTAAAAGCTTTTACGTTTTTTGACCATGTTTTCTAGAACTTGTTTCTCAATTCAATGAAATCCTGAATCAGACTTTACGAGGAATATCCACGTCTCCTTCCCATTCCTAATGATTTGTATACCCTTGCAGAAGGTATTGTAATTTCAGTCAAATGTATGCAACGCAGTGAAGGAGACGCTTCCGACCGCATAAAGTATATATATTCTTGATCAGCACCAATAGCCGAATCCATATAGACATGTCCGTCTGTCCGTTTCTATGCGAACTAGTCTCTCAGCTATCGAGATGAAACTTTCCCAAAAGTCTTATTTCTACTGCAGTTAGTACATATGTAGGTCGGAACGAAACGAATCGGACCAATATATCTTATCAGGGACCGTAAATAATGATTATCGATGTATTTTTCAAGCAAAAAAATCATCCACTTGGAAAAGCCGTATAAACAAACGAAATATACCAATCGGCTATTATTTGTGTGCTCTATCCATATCCGCAATGATTTTTTACTTATCGATGTTTTGAGCGAAAAAATAACGCTCAAAAAATAATCATTATTTTTTGATCGATATTTTTTTCGCTCACAATAATAATAATTATTCTTTGAGCGATTGAAAAAAACTCAACAAGTAATTATTAAAATGGAGTACAATTTATAAAAATCAATAAATAAACATTAAATATTGATTTTTATTATATCACTTATAATGATTACGGTCCCTTTATCTTATGGCTCTCATAGGAACCTTTTCAGAATAAGTCAATAAAAAGGAACACCCACGGTAGTCCCTATTTCGGTACGAAACGGAAACGCCACTTTAATCTAGATGAAAAACAAGAAAGAAAGCTAGCTTCGGCCAGCCGAAGCTTATATACCCTTGCAGATCGTTCCTATTAATTTACAAATCGCAAACATTTTAATTATTTACATTTTTATTATTTTAACATTATTTTTATACCCGTTACTCGTAGAGTAAAAGGGTATATTGTATTCGTGCACAAGTATGTAACAGCTAGAAGGAAGCATTTCCGACCCTATAAAGTATATATATTCTTGATCAGGGTCACTAGCCGAGTCGATATAGCCATGTCCGTCTGTCTGTCCGTCTGTCCGTCTGTCTGTCTGTCCGTCTGTCTGTCCGTCTGTCTGCCCGTCTGTCTGTCCGTCTGTCTGTCCGCATGAACGCTGAGATCTCGGAAAGTATAAAAGCTAGAAGATTGACATTTTGCATGCAGATTCTAGAAGTTCCTACGCAGCGCAAGTTTGTTTCAAAAGGGTGCCACGCCCTCTCTAACGCCCACAATCGATTAAACACGATTTTAAAAATTTCAATATTTGGGAAAAGTAAAAATGCCGTTTTATTGTGTTTATCAATACCTATCGAAATGTAGAAGAAATTTTTTAAATCGGACCATTCGTTAAAAAGTTACGGCGGATCAAAGTTTTTATCTCCATCTCCTTCGCACTCCCTTTAGCTGAGTAACGGGTATCTGATAGTCAGGGCACCCGACTATAGCGTTCTCTCTTGTTTTATCCTTCCCTATGGCAGCTATATGATATAGTCGTCCGATTTTGATAAAACTAAAATTGAAACTCGGAAATATTTAAAAAAAGTCATGTCCTAAAGTAGAAGAGAATACAATAAAAACCAAAAAAGCTTAAATTTATTTCCTATTACTCTCCCATTAATTTTCCGATCGTTCCTATGGCAGCTATATGATATAGTCGTCCGATTTTCTAAATATTTTATTCGAAATTTGGAAATATTTGAAAAGTAATATTTCCAGGAGTAGATGGTTTTATTTCAAAAAACACCGAAGCTAGAATTTTTTAACGTTTCCTTCCTATGGGAGCTATAAGATATAGTTGTCCGATCCGGACAGTTCCTGCAATGGAAAGAAGACTTTTGGGAAAGTTTCAAGCTGATAAAACTGAGAGACTAGTTTGCGTAGAAACGGACAGACAGACGGACAGACAGACGGACATGGCTAGATTGACTCGTCTAGTGATGCTGATCAAGAATATATATACTTTATGGGGTCGGAAACGTCACCTTCACAGCGTTGCTAACTTCTGACTGAAATCATAATATCCTCTGCAAGGGTATAACAAAACAAACAAAAATTTTGTTTTAAACAAAAATTATGATGCTTCTGGTGGAAAGTGTCTTAGAAAATATTTATACAAACCAGCAGAAAGTTAGCAGAACCGTAGAAAGTTAAAATGCATGTATGGCTTTTCTTTATATATTTTACACATTTTATTCATATTGATATACTTGTATAATTTACAATTAAATAAGTCAATTCACATAAATATCATATATTGTGCGCCACATTCAAGCGCAATCCATAGCTTACGTAAAGGCCACACTGAGTGGCAGTTGAGTGGAGTTCAAATACAGTAAGTTCCGCTTATGAATTATTTATAAATTGTACTCAGTTTTCAGGGACATGAGTGGCTATTGCTGAGTCGGGGATCAAACTGTTGAGCGAGCTGCTTCTAGCCAGGATTTCGATATTATAGACAGATATATGTATACGAGTATATATTGCTGGATATGTCTATGCTGCGCTTGTGTGCTTTAGATTTCCCATAAATGCGTGCGGGTGTCCTGAATTTACTTTATCGGGTTTTTATTGTACATTCGCAACGTTCGTACGGATGGTAAATTCTATCAATTAAAACTAACTCCAAACTAAATGGCAATGTGTGCGGATGCTAGGCAAATGAATTGCAAACTTTTCGCAGATTATTTTTCATTTACAAGTTCCCTTCGACTTCAACTAATTTGGCATAATAAGCTCGAGGCACACAACGTTCTCCTACCTTAGACTTTGTTTACTTGCAGTTTGCTCTAGCTAATGACGCGGTGCGAGTCCCAAGACGCCCCTCATTCCGAACCAATATCGGCTTTGGGGCTGGGTCCGGACTCTAAACCCTAGACACATGGTAATTGGACCTAAATGCATGAACTTGCTGGCTGAATGTTTCGAGTGGGGCTTAAAGTTAAAAGCGGAACGTAAAATGCATAAAATCAGTCTGACTCTTGTTTTAATACATAATTATATATTATAATTTATAATACATACACAGGGCTAAAGCTGGGTATTTGTGTGTCTGTGGGTGTGCACACAAATTATGCAATGCCAAACGAAATGCAACTGGCGCTTTAAATTATGTAAATGCTAAGGGATCGTATAAATATTTATGCCCATATTCGTTCGTTGGCGCATATGTGTGCATACTAAGCTGTATTTACGTAAAATTAAGTGGGTGCGTGTATGTACAAAGTTTGAATGAATTGATGGACTTGGGACCTATGGCAGGTGCTCCACAAGGTAAGCTTTGGACTTCAACGATGGGCCTCAATCCTTCGTGTGAATCCTGTACTGCGGCTTGCGTCTAATGGTGGCAAAGTATTGCGTTTGCTGTTGCTTTTGCTTTTGCTGTTTGGTGCGTTGCTGCTGCAATTGTTGCAGGTGCTGCTGCTGCTTGTGCTGTTGCTGCTGCTGCTGCTGCCTTTGTTGCAGCTTCAATTGTTGCTGCTGGGTCAGTCGTCACACTGTGGTTTCGTCATCATCAATATTCCGCCTGTTTGCGACAGAAAATCGCCATTAGTGGGGCTGCAATCGGCTTATGCTGCAGGAATGCACATATGTGCATATATATTTCTATATTTCCCGCTACTGTACACTAATTTACGTGCTTCACTACGACGTGCAACACTTTGGTAAGTTTCAATTTGTGGCATGCCAGAGAGTCTCATAAATTTCATGCGGATACGTGTTAAATGAAAAGTTGTGTTCGAGCGAAAACATAATTTATGCAACTGAATTATCAAAGTGAAAAAATAAGCATAACTGTGTGTCAGTGCGTTAGTATTTGAGGTACTTTGTGGTTGAGTTAGTGAGGTGTTAAATGTGGTTAAGTTTTTTGACCAGGGAACAGTTTATATTCCAAGTTATTAAAGTGTTATTGGATTCTAGTAGTGAGTTGGTAAATTATTAACATTATTGGGCTGGGTCTGTAGCTTTTTGATTATATTGATATGTCATTAGGTATTCTTGCTTAATTTATATGTGCCTAATCTGAATCTGGTCTTAAAAATTAAGCCTAGCAAAAGCAAATATAATTTTTATTTTTTAAAACTTTTTTGAAAATATAATACCAAAATGTGTATAGCCAGATTCCGACTCAGCTCACCAAAATTAAATAGAAATACCTTCTACCTCATGTTCATATCAAGTGTCAGCTAATGATATCAACTAATTATTGGAGACTCTGCTTAAGGCCATATTTAATATTAATTAAGTGATTTTATTTTTGCTAGTTCGCTTTGTCACTTTGATTGAATTTATTAAATAGCTTTTAGTGGGGCAGCTTTATTGTTACTAGAACTAACTGAGGGCTAACTAAGATTTGTCCTGTTTACTCATTATACCATATTGTTAGCGACCAGGGATATTGTTGCCTCTGTTGCCTGCGATGCAGCCAAATAATGTCGAACTGTGGAGATGTTCAGGTTGAATATAAGGTCTGTTTTTGTAGCGGGTGAGTGTGTGGGAATGGTGGGCATGATGGATCGATGTATACAGTTGTTAGATGGGAATTAATAAATGTCATAAATGCGTAAATTCAATATTACACGTTCCAATTAAATGCAGCACGAAGTTCGAACAGTCGGATTACAAATTAGAAAGTGAGAAATTCAGCAGAATCGATTAATCAAACTAATGAACAAACAAACATTCAGGACGGCAACGGGGGCCAAATAAAAGGAAATTCAATGTTTCATATTTACATTCAATTGGTCAAATCAAATTAAAACTGGTGCACTTTCGAATTAGTTAAAGAGCTCGAGTCAAATCGAATCGAATCGAATTGAATCGAATCACTTTTATGCACACTTTAGCTACGCAAAACGAACAAAAAAGTAAACGAAGACGATGATGAAAAGTGGGAAAATGGGAAATGTGATGTGCGATTTGAAAATGCATTTTACTTGTGGTTTACCTCTGAGCTGTAGTTGTAGTTGTAGTAGTTGTAGTTGTGTGGTTGTTGTTGATGTTGTTTGATTTGGTTGGGTTTTTGGGGTTGGATGGATGGAACACGAGCCGCCATAGTATTTTGCATTACGTCGAATTTCATTTTGCAGTTGGTTTTTTTTAGTTTTCGGTTATAAGTATGTGTGTTTTGCGGTATGCGTGTGTGTGTGTATTTAGGTTTAGTTTCAAAGAGCAAAAGAGACAGAGAGAAAGCACGATATTGGAGAGAATAGAAGTGAAAGATAGTCAAATTAGATTTGCTTCAAACGTTCCCAGGACCAGCTGAAAGGATATGGACATGTTCACGTATAGAAGAATGTATATGAATGTGGGTATATTTGTGTAAGCGTGCAGTGAGTGTGTGTGTGTGTATAGTTTGTACCATATTCATTTGCATTGTTTTCAGTTTTCATTGTTGTGGGAAAAGCCGAATGGTACAAAAGGGTTTATGTCATTGTAGTTGTTGATTCGAATGCCATAAAGAAAAGAGAATCAGAAACAAAGGACCACAGATTAATTGCTGGAATCAAAAATGGAGAACGAACAGGAGTTCTCGAACCAAAACTAATCATCTAGGCCAACGGAAACGGAAATGGAAATGGGAAAATGAAATCAACAGACAGGATGGGCTGCACATGGAGCACAAGAAGCATAAACCGGTCACCAGAACCACAACGAAACTGAAACTGAAACCAGTACCGAAACCAAAACCAAGTCTAAATCCAGAACAGAAACCGAAACGGAAGGCAACAAAAGCAGGCATGTCACAGAAATCTCCCAAAACCGATTGTTAAATATGATCCCTGGGCTTTGGGCAGTAATCCTTGGGAAACGGGTAGCTAAGCACCGATCTCCAGAGACCTCTGTGACACACTAGGTGGTCTTCATCTGTCTGGTCAACTCACTCGGTATCCGTGATGCTGGTCAGTGGCCCCAGCGGCTGCATGGGAGCCACCATCGTAGAGGGCGGCGAGGAGGCCCTAGAACTGTGCCGGGAGCCTCCGTTCATGGTGTGCCGAGCTATTAGTCCCGGATTGTTCACATCGTTGACCAGTCCCAGTGGTGGCTGCATCAGCTGAGATCCGTGCAGAGAAGGCGGCTGGGTGTGGCTCAGCTTCCTGGCGGGCAGGTGGTCCTCCTCGGCGGTGTAGGGGAAGTGGTAGCCGTTCTTATCCGAGCCCTCGGACAGTCTGTCCTGCAAGTGGTGAGGCTGATGTTGCTGCTGCTGCTGCTGCTGGTGGTAATCGTTCTTCAGCAGCGAGTGCACCGAGTGCAGGGAATCCGTGGCATAGGCCGGCTGCCTCTTGAGGCTGTAGTGACCATCCCGGGAGCCATAGATATCGGGGGTGATCCGATCCTTGGACAGGTAGGGCGACTCCGACTTGGCGCCCAAGTAGCCACTGCCCAGCGTTCGCTGCTTGTCGTAGATGTTGTCACTCAAGTAGGCCGCATCCGGGTGGAAGCTCCTCATGTGCCCGATGGTCTGGGAGCCACCTCCCCCGCCGGGATAGTCCTTCTCGCTGCCATAGTGGCTGGGTGGCTTGTAGGAGCCGTACTTGTCCGCAGGATACTCGCCCCTTCGGCCGTACAGACTGTCCTCGTAGCCGTCGCGGGCATCGCGAATATTCTCCAGGATCGACGGGGGCATGTTGATCTTGTTGTGGTGCTGCTGCAGGTAACTGGTGTCCGTGAGATCGGGATTGGGCAGCGGATTGGGCGAAATGGTCATCTTGGCCTGACCGTGAACGTGTTCGTTGTCGGAGCCCGTGTCCTGCGACCATCGTCCGATGTTCGGGGGCGACTGCAGATAGGCATCCGGCAGCTGGCTGGACCAACGGGGCGCATACACAGGCTTACTGACACTCGGGAAGAGCTGGGGACTCTGCACCACATTCAGTTCCGGCGGAGTGGTGGCCTGCACGTGCTCCGTGATGTTGGGCAGATAGGCGGGCGTCGAACTAACGGCCGTGCTGCGATGGGTTCCAGAGGACCGAGCAGTGCGGGACTCGTCGTCGTCGCTGGAGTGACTACTGGCCAGCTCCAGGGATCTGCCGTCCGTCTCGGAACCGGAGTCCGAGTCCTTTCTCTGGCGTCGCGAAGGCTTCTCCTCACCACCACCCCTACTCCGTCCGGTTGTGGAGGACTCGAATCCCCTCAAGAAGCTGGGAGCATCGCTGGCCGAATTGTAGTTCGAGGTGGATGTGGAGGTCTGTCGCAGCTGTCCATCGCTATACGGGCTCGAGCTCGTCTTGGCCGTGCTCCTCGAGGTGGTGCTGCTGGCGCTGATGCCAATATTCCGCCGGGTAGTGGTGTCATAGCCTCCGGCCAGGAAGTTACTCGGCCTCGCCGCTCCGTTCACATTGTGGGAGCTGTTGCTGACCACCATGGAGGAGTCCAGGAGCGGCACCTTGCGACCCATGCAGCGCAGGCAGGTGCGCTGCAGGTTCTCCCTCACCCGCTTGTTGATGATGCAGTAGCCAATGAGGCAGAAGAGGGCGTGCAGCAGCACCACGCCGGAGAGCAGCAGGCTCAGCAGCTGGGAGTGCTCCGATGCGGCGAGCACCGCCAGGACCCACATGACACCCATCAGGGGCAGCGACACGACCGACAGCCAGAGGAGGGTTCGCAAATTGCCAAATCCGAGCACGTGATCCTTGAGCGTAAATGCGGCCTTGACGGAGACGAAGAGGATGAGCAGGTTGACCACAGACATGCCAGCAATGGGACCCACTAGCCACCACACCACAGGTTCGTAGACAGACAGCCAGCAGCTGAAAGGAGGGGAATTTAAGTTAGTATGCTTAATAAAATTGGCACATGGAAAAAATGTGTGCAACATTTATATATTAATAGATCAAAGCAACTATAAACTCAACAATTATAATCATACAAACTTTAGGAAAATGAGGCACACACATAAGGAATACTCACAATAAGCTATTTCCGTACTCATGAGCCCGAACGCCAACAGAAAGTCCGACGACGATGGCTGGAGCGCCGTAGCCCATGGCGAAGTAGAAGCCCATGGGCCCGTGATTTATGTCCCGCATCTCGGTGAGCATCCTGTAGAGATGCACACAGTCCACCGTTGTCCAGGCAAAGGCCGCCAGCCAGAAGTAATGCAGGCAGATGGCCGTCAGCTTGCAGGGGAACTCGCTCTCCAAGAGCTGCCGGCGCGACTGCATTCCCACGAAGAAGAGGAGCTCCGCGCAGAAGACGCAGAGCACAATATTCTGGTGTATGGTGTTCGAGTTGGTTTGCTGACCCCGCAGAAGGGCCAAGGCCAGGAGCACTCCCAGCAGCAGAGGAAGTGAGACGAGGAAGGCCGAGTACGAGGTGATTTGCACCAGGAGCGAGGGTTCCGGGATGTCCTCCGGATCGATGACATCCACAATGACTGCATAGCTGGAGATGTGGGTGCAACTGCAGTTGACCAGAATCACTGGCTGTGCCGCCGGATTGAAGTCGCCATCGAAGTCGGGAATTTCCGTCTGGCAGCCCAATCGGGTCCACTGATTGGTAAAGGAGTTCCAGCGGACGCACTGGGGGTTAGAGCGGGGTCCAAAGCGAGCGGAGTCCACATCCAGCCACATCTGCAGCTTTATGGGTTGCGCCAGATGGGGTGAACCCAGGGACCGATAGACCACCTGTTCCGACTGCTGCATTTGCTCCGAGGGGTACGTGATCTCTATCTGCCTCTTCACCAAACGACGGTCCCTGTAAACCGCCTCGTTCTCACCCTTTGGTTGCTCATCGCTTCCCGTGGAACTGACGCCCTCGTAGTTTGGATTGAGCACCTCGGGGGAATCTGGTGACACTATCTCCTCGCCGGAATTGCCATGAAACTCAATGTCGTCGAGATTCAGGCGTATGTGTGGGTCCCGATCCTCGCCATCCTCACTACTTGAGGCCTCCTGCTGTTCGCCGGATGAAGCTGGTGGTGGAATTTCATGGGCTGTTATCCGGATGTCCTCGATCTGCTGTTCACTACTGCTGCTTGGGGCCTTGGGAACGTCGAACACCTCCACAAACTGTTGCTCTGAGCTGCCCGAAGAAGACGTTGATACGGATGAAGATATCTTTCTCGAGGGAATCTCCAGGCGCTGAGTCTCCTGTTCCCTTTCCATGGAAGGCACCAGAATCTGCAGGGAGAGAATGGGAGTGGCCAGCTCCACATCCACACCCCAACGACGGGTGATGGTCTCATCGTAGAGATCGGGCAGCAGTTGACCCACATCCTTGTATTGCGCATACGCCACAATGGCCCGATGGTCGTGGCTGCCTCCTCTTCGTCCGCCCTGCGAGATCTCATCGCTCTCCGGTGGCGTGATGCCCAGCATCTCCAGGGGCACAAGGACCTTGGTGTGCTGATCGAACTTCCTTCTGTCCAAGATGTAATTGTTGTACTTGGGGAAGCTGATCACCGGTCGCTGTCGTGCCGAGTGCTGCAGGAAGCCACTGGTATCGGGCAACACGACACTCTCGGTGGTAAAGGCATTCGGTTTGAGGTACTTGCTCCGGTGATACTCACTCAGCTGCTCCGGCTCATAGCCGAAAAGCGACTCTGTGGTCACGATGTCCAGGCCGAGTGCCATGTTCGGCTGAACAATCTCGAAGGGACTGGTGTAGGTGTCGTGTTGGGAGCGAGCCAGGACCACCAGATACTTGTTGAACGCATCGACCAGGTCGTCTGGTCCCCTCTGAATCAGTTCCGTGGCCCTTCGCCATTCCGCCTCGTACTTCCTGTCCAAAATAACGCTGGCCGCATCCACCAGATTCTTGATAAAGTACTTGTCCTGACTGTGCGACAAGTTGAGGCCGCTCTGCATGAGCTCGTAGTTGATGAGCTCCTGCAGAAGACCCTCCGTCACGAGGAGATCGGCACCGTACAGGCGGTCATGGCTGAACTTCAGTTCATCGGACAGGTAGTCCATCTCGAGTTCGTGCGACCAGACATTTCCGCCATTGCTGAGCAGGAAGGAGGACTCCATTTTGTAGCGCCTGTTGGGGCGTCCGATTCCAGGTGCCTTCGGATCCTTGCTGGCTCCCCTTCTGTCCACCGTCTCGCAGGCCTTCCTCAGTTGCTCCGCCATTTTGATGGCCACAAAGGAGTTGAGCTCCAGCTCGAGTTTCTCCAGCTGGGACAGCTGACGACGCAGCTCCACGAAAGGCTCCGAGGTGCAGTTGTACATGTCCGGTGTGTTCCAACTTCCCGACTGGGCATCGCAGGTGCGTTGACCCTTTCCACGAGCAGGCGCCGGACATCCCTCGATGGCCACTCCGCCGAGAGGAGTTCGTGGCCACCAGACGCCGCCGGCGAAGGAGCGCGGACAGGCATCGTAGACCACCTCGCAGCCACTGAGGGTTACCTCGGCATAGGGATTCGAGCAGGAGTCGCATCTGCGCCCGATGACTCCCTCGCGACACTCACACTGTCCCGTCAGCGGGTTGCAGGCTCCACTGAAGCTTCCGATGGAGTAGCAGTCGCAGGAGAGGCAGGCGGTCTCGTTGGGCGGTTGGTAGTGGTTCGTCTTGCAGTAGCACTGTCCGGTGGTCTTGTTGCAGTCCGGGTGGTATCCCTGGGCCAGATCGCACCTACACGGACCACACACCCTCTCGCCCCACCAGCCTCCGGGACACGGCTGCTGCAGTTCCCGCTCACAATAGTCGCCGTGCCGGGAGCTGCTGTTGCATTCGCATCCGTAGCCGCGGGACAAACTGGAGTTGGCCCTGCACACTCCAGAGGCACAGGGTCTGACCGTGCAGATGGGAGCACAGTCGGCACCCACAAAGCCCGGATCACACTCACACGTGGACAGGTCCCAGGTGCTCTGGCAGGAGGAGTGGTTGGGACAGTGATCCGGACACTGTGCCCGCGACTCGCAGCCGTCTTCCACATTCTCACGAATAGTTGGTCGCGAAAGAACCGATTGACCCGCTCCAATGCGCACGTCCTGAATGCAGCCCTCGAAGGGCGAGGCCTCGGGAACCGATCCAATGCTGCCATCCGGACTGCCCATCACTATCTTGCCCACATAGAGGCCTTGAACCTTTTGCGACATGGGCACTGACCCCGAACGCTGTCCGTAGTCCACGGAGAAGTGGATTTCAGAGCCCTGCTGCCAGCGAATCTCCACTCTGTGCCACTCCCCGTCGGAGAGGAAAGCACCTGCCAGGAACATGGGTTCTCCGTCGAAGATGTAGTAGAGGACTCCTTGCCTCAGACAGACCGCCGCCGAACTGTTCTGTCCGATTTGAATTTGGAGGAGAAAAGCCTCCTTCTGACGTGTTCGCAGGGAGAAGGAGGTGGTCCAGGGCAGCTGGATGGGTCGCAGAAGGGGATTGAAGCTGAGACTACCGTCGCCGGAGAAGCGCCAGGGAGCAGGTATGTTGTCCTGGCAGCTGTTGCCCGCATATCCCTCGGGACACTCGCAGGAGTAGGTGCCCCAGCCCTCGTGACATGTGCCGCCATTGAAACAGGGCTCCGATTGACACAGTGGAGCCTTTTGCGGACATCCGGCCAGAGTTCCGTTATCCGCCACATACGAGTTGAGGTCAACGAATCGATCGTCGATACGGAGGTCCGAGATGCAGCCCACGAAGTCACGGTTGGCCACCGGAAAGTGGGCCGGAATGCGGGGAAGTCCGCCCACCTGCAAGGGTCCCGTGAGATCCAGGAAGCGATGACAGGTCTCCGTGAGCAGCGAGCAGCGCTTGTCCAGCTTCAAGGTGGTGCGATTAGCGCAGCTCCACCTGTCACCCAGTTGTCCCGAGAGAGCGATGGCGGTGTCGCAATTATCCAGTACCAGGGTGACACTGCGGTTCAGATAGAGCACCTCCACCTGGTGCCACTTGCCATCCGAGACCTTGGCCTCCTGCATCACCGACACCCTTTCGCTGTGGTCGCCCAATGAGAAGGAGAAGCTCACATGGCCCTCGTGGATCTCCAGGGCAATGAAGTCGTGCAGCTCGTTGTACCTTCCGTTGTAGAGCAGCAAGCCGTTCTCCTGGACGGTGGCAAAGCGGAGCTTTAGATTGAAGCGATGTCTTTGCTTCAGGCTCTCGAAGGTCAGGAAGGAGTTGCGCCCGAAGGCACGGGCCCGCAGCTCACAGGTGGCCGTGTAAGCCGGCGGTTGGGAGCTTGGGTAATTGCTCAGGCAGGACAGGCCACCCTCGCACGTCTCCGAAGGACACGGACGCAGCTGACCCACTCCAGTCTCACAATTCAAGCCCGTGTGCGTGGACGGGCAGACGCATGTGTAGCCACCCTCGCGTCTCACGCAGGTTCCTCCATTCTGGCAGGGATCCGAGTAGCAGAGATCCACCTCCGTGTCGCACAAGTAGTGCTCCCTGCTGCCCGTAAAGCCCTCCGGACAGGAGCAGGCGAACGTGTTGACCGGATAGATGGGCCGGAAGAGCACCGTGTCGCTGTGGATGAACTCGGAGGCGTTGCCAAACTTCAGAACAGTCAGGCACTCCTCGAAATTCAGGCACGGCTCCCGCACGCAGAGGTTGTCGTCGAAGGGCAGGACCTCCACGGTGGCCAGGCGGGCCAAAATAGCTCTATTTAAGTAGACCCGCTCCTGAAGATACTGCGGTGTGTAGAACTCCTCGTGGGAGACATCCGGTCGGCGAGCCGAGAAGCTGACGTTAAGAATGCGCGAACTGACATCCGTGTCGTCCTGGATGCTGAACACGAATATGTGCTCCTTGGGGCATGGGATGATAGCAGCCAGGCCATCCAGGAAAAAGTTCAGCAGGGGCGACAGGAAAGCCTCCTCCGTCATCTCATTCAGTCGCACTGTCACCGAGTTGAAGAGCATGTCCTCGGTGATCAGGCGAACCGAGAGCTGCATTATGGCCTTGGCCTCGTTGATGCCATCGGATACGGATACCTCCATGGTGGCGAACTTGGGCACATTGGTGTTCAGCTGGGGACTCAGCACTAATCCTCCCGAGCTACTGTTCAAACGCAGCAGGTTGGCATTGTTTCCGGAAAGTATCCTGTAGTGAAGCTTATCGCTCACATCCGCATCGAAGGCTGGGATTCTTCCGATCTCGCCGCTGGGGAAGTGATCGCGGAAGTTGTTGAATATCACCTGGAAGTCCCGCAGCACTGGGGCATTGTCATTCACATCAGTGACCAGGATCTCGATGTGGGCATCGTTGCGCAATGGAGGACTCGCTGCCCGGACCACCAACTCGAATCGCTTTCGAGTGGACTCGTAGTCCAGTTCCGTCATGGTCAGCAGTTGGGCTCGCTCCGAACCAGGTCTAGTCACCAAGGAAAACGCGTTGGAGTCATCGCCTCCGATAATCGAATAGTGCACCACTGCGTTGACGCCTTCGTCGGGATCGTGGGCGTGAATCTCGCCCACCACTGAGCCTACAGGAGAATTCTCCGGCACATAGAGTGTGATCTTGTCGGATGCAAAGGTCGGTGGTGAGTCATTAACGTCCTCTAAACGGATTTGCACCTCAACGGTGCTCGATAGCGGCGGTGATCCCTTGTCCACGGCAATGGCGGTCAGGTGAAAGACAGCCACACTTTCCCTATCCAATCCCTTGTTGGTGCGAATAGTACCCGATGTGGGATCGATTACAAAGGAACCGTCCTCGATGTCGCGATCGCTCAGCAGGTACTTTATGCGTCCATTCAGCCCCACGTCGGGATCACTGGCTGCCACCTGGATCACCGAAGTTCCCACGAGGGCATCTTCCAGAATGGAAGCCTGGTACAGTGGGCTCTTGAAGGCCGGTGCATTGTCATTGACATCGGTCACTCCGATCTCCACATCGGTAGTGTCACTCAACGACGGATTACCTCCGTCCTTGGCAGTCACTGTGAGTAGGTAGCCGCTGGTGGTCTCCCGATCCAGCGGGGCATTCGTCACAATGGCACCCGTTTGCGCGTTGATCGAGAAGGGATCCTGAGCTCCCAACCCGTTGATGCTCTCCTCGTTCAGGGAGTAGGTGATCTGGGCATTCACCCCCACATCGCTATCGGTGGCGGATACCACGAGGACAGTGGTGCCCACAGGAGCATCTTCAAACACCGAAGCGCTGTAGGGCGCATTCTCGAAGATGGGAGCAAAGTTATTGGCATCCGTGATGTTTATGTGCACGGTGGCCGTGTCGGAACGTCCTCCGGAGTCGGTGGCCGCCACCGTGAGCAGGAAGCGCTTCTCCTGCTTGTAGTCCAGCGACTGGGCGATGGTGATGAGTCCACGGCCATTCTGGGAAGTGATCGCAAAGCGTCCCCTCGTGTTGCCCGTGGTGATCTCGTAGTGCAGGCGGGAGTCCTCGTCGGGATCCGTGGCCGTGACTGTGGTAACCGGCGTCCCTGGCGGCTGATCCTCTCCCACGTTCGCCTCGTAGTACTTTGGGTTGAAGGCCGGATCGTTGTCGTTCACATCCTGCACCGTGATCACCACCGAGGAGCTGGCCGACTTGGGGGGCACACCGCCGTCTTTCGCCACCACCTGGAAGGCAAAGCGACCCTGCTCCTCGCGGTCCAGTGGCTTGATGGTCTGCACCCAGCCGGTTCGGGGATCCACGGCCAGCGGGAAGTTGTCGTCCCTTTCCGAAATACTATATGTGATCTCTGCATTGGCTCCTTCATCCGAATCGTAGGCCTGCACCCGAATGATGTTGTAGCCCACGGGGACATTCTCGAGCACGCTCTCCTGGAACTGGGAGGTGTAGAACCTCGGCGCATTGTCGTTCGCATCGATGACGTTCACCAGGAGCTGGGTGGTGTTGCTTCTGGAGGGACTGCCTCCGTCTTGGGCGCGGATCACCAGCCGGTAACTGCGCACACTCTCGTAGTCCAGCGGCTTCACAAGACTAACATCACCCGACATCGAGTCGATGGAGAACTGGGACTGGGTATTCCCGCCGATTATGGCATATCGGATGGCCGCATTGTTGCCCTGATCGGCATCCGTGGCCCGGATGTGGGCCACAGTGTTGTCCTCAGAGCCACCCCATTGGTCCTCGGGCACTTGGACCGTATAGGTGCGCTCACTGAACTGCGGGTAGTTGTCGTTGTCATCGAGGACCTTCACCTGGACGCTGGCCGTGGCCGTCCGCCGTTCGCTTTGTGCCGATGCCATATCCGCAGCGGTCACCAACAGGTGGTAGCTGTCCGAAGTCTCGCGGTCCAGGCTGCTCCTCGTCGAGATCACACCTGAACGGGAGTCTATCCGGAAGATGGGCATTTCCTGGTCCTGCGTTAATCCGGCGCCATCTAATTAAGGGGGAAAAAAAAAGGCATTTGATAGAATCAAATAAAACTTAATATATAGGGTATTCAATTGCGTTGCAAAACAGTTCCAACAACAATTTTTATACAAAATAGTTTTCAAGGCCTACAACAGCCTATGTATACAAATCTGTTGTACTTGTGTAGAAATAATGGTTTAAAATTAAGGTTTTAATTAGTACAAAAATACTAAAAAGTTGGCTTTGAGTCTATGAATATGTCAACCTAAAAGCCGATTAACGCTTAAGAATTCGGGTATAGATTTTGTTGCTCTTCTTGCGGCGATCAATGTTTCTTTATTTGGTAAATGCTATTGTTAAACCATGCATATATAGCAACCATATGCCAAAGAACTCGCGGTTTTATTTTCGGTTTTTTGGATATTTAAAAGAGGGCTTAGATAGGACAGTAAGGAAATGACGTTCTTGACCAAGAAGTTGGCCATCTAATCAGCTGAAGAACACGCGTTTTAAAACCAAATAAGAATGACTACAACACATGTAATCATCTGTAATGTCCGCCTCCAGACATTTAACGCCTAAGAAGAAGCGGACTTCTCATACAAAGTTAAGAGGGGGAAATTTGTATTTACAAATGTCAATCTTATTTTAGGCAAAACCTCCCTTGCATTTATTTTTTCCTCAAAAATCATCAAGCAATACAAAAAAAAAAATTAGCCGTCACTATCTTGCTAAGATTTTTGAAAAAGGTCGTTCACAATTTTTGCCTGGCAAACTTACAAATTTTACACTTTTGCAATGCAATTAAATACCCCAAGTATGTTCTTTATTTGGAACTCACCCGTCACTGCCTCGATTCCGTACTCGATCTCCGCATTCTTGCCAATGTCCTGGTCGGTGGCCCGCAGCGTGATGACCGTGGATCCCACGGTGGCTCCTTCCCGGATACTCGCCTCGAACTGTTCCGCCTCGAAGGTGGGACTGTGGTCGTTGCAGTCCAGGACGTTCACCTGCAACGTCGTCGTACCGGAACGCGGTGGAAAGCTGTCGTCGGTAGCGACCACGCGAAAGTAGTGCACATCCATGAGCTCCCGGTCCAAACTAGCCGAGGTGGTGACCACGCCAGTGCGAGAGTCAACCTTGAATAGGGACTGAGAGCGAGAGTCCAGCAGAGAGACCATGGAGTAGACCACTGGCGAATCTTCGGGATCGCGGGCACGCACGGTGGTCACCGCAGATCCCGCAGGCTGCTCCTCCAGGACAGAAGCCACATAGAGGGCCTGTTCGAAGTAGGGCGACTGATTGCGCAACTCCCTGCGCACCCTGCGAGCGATATCCGTGTCGTTGAACTCCTGATGGTGGTACACGATCTTCAGGCGGTGGTCCGAGTCCACGATGTCCCGACGATCGCACCGAATGTTGAACGTAATGCTCACCTTCCACATGGACTCAGCGATGCAGACGTCCCGGCTGGCCACCAGATCCCGGCTCTGGTGCTCGATGGCGAATCGCTCGTCGTTCACGTCCAGGAAACTGACCTTGCAGTGCTGGCAAACCGATCGCGGCAGGAAGGCATTCAGGCTGTTGATGAACTGCGAGCGTCGCAGGCAGATCTGGTTCCACTTGTCCGTGGTGTGGATCGCATACGAGGCATACGTCTCCGAGATCCACTGCTTGGCATCCGAGATCCGGCGGTGCAGGGCGGGCTGCAGGTGCAGCGGATCCGGCGAACCCACAGCTCTCCGCTTTCGACTCAGGATCCTGTGCCTCATCTCGTTGTCGAAGCTGTCGCCGAAGATCAGATCTCCGGCACGGAACTCCGTGCTGTTCAGGCGGAAGACCTCCTCAAGCTGGTTGCCATCCAGCTGGACCATCTCCTGGGTGGACCGCCTCCTCCTCCGCCGCTTGGAGTAGCCCGTGTTGTCCTCCTCCTCGTAGTGGTGGTGGTGCAGCTCCTGCTCTATCCGCCTGTCCTCGTTGCAACTGTGACCCGAGACGAAGATCCGCACCGGCAGACTGTAGTAGTCGATGCTGCGCAGCCGGTTCGAGGTGGAGTCCACATAGAAGGTGAACAGATTCGGGTAGTAGATGCCGTCGCACTTGAGGGCCTTCCGCAGCTGGATCTGCCCGTCCTTGTGGCTCACCGAGACCAGGTGGTGCACAAAGTTGGCCGACTTGTGGGCATTGATCTTGTAGTGCCGCTCGGAGCCGAGTTTATAGACGGAGGCGTTGAAGATTACGGTGCCGGGGGGCGTGTCCTCGTGCACGATAATCAGGTAGCTCTCGGCGAGCCATGATTGCAGCAGGACGACGAGGAGCACAAGGAGCAGGCCCAGGGGCCTTCGAGGGGACTCCCCCGTCTGCATGACTCGATTACGGTCGATGGGTGTGTGTGTATTACGGTTGTATGTGTGCCCAGCGTGTGTGTGGGTGTGGTGCGAGAACCAACAAACCACAGTGCAATTAATGCTCCTATTCAATTATCATCGGTGGGCGGTGCTGCGGGCGTGGCCATCTGTCTGCAAAGGGTAAGAAAATTCAGAGAGTCAGTGAGGTCAGTGAATTTGCTCTTAAAAATAGGCAATGTTTTGGGGAGTGACGCTCGCTCGGAAAAACATATCATTAGAATGTGTTGAACAAGAGAAGTTTTGAAGTAAAGATTTTAACCTATATTAAAGGCAAGATAAATATGACTTGACTTTTATTATTTTCATATATTCCTCTCATTCATTAACGCACAATTGTTAAAAGCCAATTAATTCCGGAAGACCGGAGCTCTTGTTATTCATAATTCTTATCAAAGTGAACCCTGGGAAATACGTATGTGAGGTAGCTTCGGTTTTGGCCATTTTTTAAGGCTGCCTTTGACTTAATTAAAAACTCTTCACAGAAAGCTTTCAAATAATTTCACTGGCAGCTACAAAGCAGCGGGCAACATTTTTAATTTCATTTTCCTGCGCCACGGAGACTAGCTAATATGAAGCTAGATAGAATGAAATTTAATCTTTTTTGGGATTCTTTGCCGCTTTGTTTGGCGAACAACTTTTTTCAGCCCCCTTTGACATTTCTGCGCAATGAAGTACACAGCTTAATCAGGCAACGAGGAGCAAAACGGCGACATCGTTGGGGGTTTGGTCGGCTGTGGAGCGAGGTGGTGCAGCCAACAAAATGCCACAAAGTGACACTGTCCAAAGATCGGATGACCGTTGCCCGCCGGCCAGTCGGTCGATGGAGTTGAAAATTTAATGAAATTCGATTTGATGTCCCTCTAATGGCCATTTGGCAAGCGTTTTGGGTTCGTTAATTAACTAAAGGCAGTCGAACACGTTCGGACTGGCTCACACCATGCGAAAATTACGATTTGGCCCTGGCCGAAGGGCTTAGTGCGTCCAGGTGGAAGGCGGGCGAAGGTCAGGGGGCGGGGTCGTGCCGAATTCCATTTCGAATTCAAGTTGCAACTAAACTGTTTGTCCATTGTGCTGCTCATTTCGATGCAGATAATTCGCACGTTCGACCCATGAAGGACACGTCGTGCCAAATCCCGGTTTCTGGTCCTGTCTCGCATTGCGTATACGCAGTGTGGCACACGGCGCACCTGCATTGCACGGCGGAGAGTCCTGCGAACGGCTATCAAGTGGACTGACATACGTGCGACTCCTATCTAGGGACACAAATCGAATTGGATTTAGGGACAGTTTTAAAATTATCGCCCCTGACAATCTGTATTTGCGAAAATTGAGACATTTAATTACAAAAGCGTTTAGGGTAGCTTAAAAATAGATTTTTTCATTAGCTTGAACAGCTAATGACAACATGTTAAACAAATAGATGACTAGAAAATAAATAAAGGCGACAAATCTGAGAGTTAATAAATATTGGCATGTATTGAAATTTTTACTTGCTGCTGTCCCATTTTATGTGAGCCTAAGAAGCCATTCAACTCCATCCGTTGGTACTCAAAAAGACCATTATAAAAATGTGTTTTCCACCCAAGAAAAGTCTGGGCTGGAGGACTGGTTATAATGTTCGTAGGACTTGAGGGGCGAGAACTCCCCTTCCCAAGGAGTCATAACTTATGTCTAGTATGGGCTCCTGTGAGTTTTGTTTGCTTTTTTTCGGAGAAATTCCCCAGACTGCAGTTGCGTGTGCTGGAAGTCGCTTGTCGCCGTGTTAATTGCAGTGTTAAAATGTTTAATTAAAATTTCCGCTTGGCCGCGCTCACCGTAGACGTGTGCCAGACCCAGACTTTATTATTGTTATTGTTTTGCCGGGCGGCAGAGGAGAGCACACACTGCGGCACACCCGCTTTCCACTTTTCCGCCCATCCACATTTTCCACCTGGGCACCGGGGGCAGACGCTTTTCATGGTTCGTCAAGCTTGAAACAGGCGCGCTGCCAGCAAACATGAAATTATTAAATTTTCACACGTTGCCTCACACAACAATTGGAAAACGAGAGGCAAAACCGAAACACCAGGTGCGCTTTGCATACTTTTCCCCAACTAATTATTATTTTCGGGGACTGCAGCAGTTGCAGTTCCAAAGTTCGGTAGCTAATTAAGAATGCGTCACTGTGTCGGATGGCAATTACAAGTTGCCATTTTGTTTTATTGCCACCCCTGAGAGCAAATCGTAATTCAAAGTTATGACGCGATATATATCCATAGGTGCCATATGTGGGGCTTCGACTGGGGGAGCTGTCACAATTTTGGGTGGGCTCGAGAGGAAGCCTGGCAAATATTTCCCACGTGTAACGAATACCGCCGAAACGAGAACTGGGAAATGGGAAATGCGACTGTCCAGGGCCAGAAAGGGTTGGCCATAAACACTCGCGTTTTACGAGACATCCAGCCGCCCCCCCAAAGAACTCCGGCAGCTGGAAACTTTTTAAGTAGCACAATCCTGGGAAGGTGTACCTGAAATATTATCCAGCCCCAAAGTTCTCGCATTCTCCGGATTCCTTTTCTTTCTCCGTCTTGGCCGCTTACAAAGGGGGAAATGTAAACAGAGACGGGGAGTGGGTTGAATAAAGGGAACACGAAACGTGTCAACTTTAAGCTTGATGGAAATTTATCACGGCCCGCCCCCTGCGGCTTTCCCGGGGGGCGTGGCAGTCTTCTCAGCGTCTCCTAATGAGCGTCTCCAGGCAAGAGCTGATTTTGCTGATTCTCTGTCGCTTTTTTGCGCTAGCAGCAGCGTAGAAAATTTCGTTAAAGGCTAATGAAAATTGATCAACATTATGTTTGAGGGGGGAAATATTGTTTCCCGGCCAGAAGGACCTTAATTGAATTTCGTCTGAGGCTTGGCTGAGTGATTTCCCTTTTGGGGCGAATTAATATTATTGCTTGTTTTGTTTTAATGAAGTGGCAAATATCCAAGGGACTCGCTGTCTGCTGACTGCGAAATTACCATAAATTCGTGGCCAGGATAAGGCGGTCGCGTGCCAGTCAGACATTAGCCAATTCGAGGACACGAAGTGCAATAAAATTCATTGTCTGCCAGGACACGAGACAGCAGCTAGCGTGCCGGAAATGCGCTTGTCTCCGGTCTAGACGCCGCTTGTTGAGAAAACTAAATGAAAACGGGAGAAAAACGAGCTAAACAGAGGAAAATAATATAGAATAATACACCTGGCGAGACGTGTGAGCAGCAAACTGCATTAAGGCCACATTAGTTGGCCCCCACACGGCGTATACGTAATTTCAGATGTCTGTGGAATGGAATCCTCGGGGGAGCAGCATACCCACATACATGTTTCAGATGCCAAATGCCAAATGCCAGACGAAGCTCTCAGCCCCGAGTGAAAGTGTTTTTCGGATGGCGGGAAATTAATTTCCACTCGCCCGGGCACCAATTAAATTTGCACAAGGGAAAACCATTTGAAATGGCCTTTGTTAAGCATGCAAAATGCAATCGAGGACGACAAAAGGAAGCAGCCATTGCAGCGGAAGCGGTACAAAAGACAAAAAGTTTCCACAACAGCAGAACAACAGCACACACACACACACACACACACTCATTGAAATGGGGAAAGCAGAGAAGGCAATGCCGAAAGAATCGAAAGAATTGAAAGAAGAAAAGTTTCCTTTGTTGTTGCTGATGCTGTTGCACTCATTCTCCGCCGAAGGCGGAAAAGCAACAAGCAGCAACAAATGCAAACTGCCAGCAAACCTCTGACCCAAAAGCCACCCCCTAAGCTCTCACCATCCCCCAACACAAACAAACCAGGGAACAGAGCAAAGCAATGCAATTGAGCTTAAACGATAACATTGTCCAAAGCAATGCATATGGAAAACAGCGGAAAAGGAGCAACGAATAATGTGTGGCGTCACTGCACTCGGAAAATCCCTAGCCGTTTGACGGGAAATTCTCATTCTTATTATTTTTATAACTGGAGTATAAGGTAAATAATTTCTTTCTGATATCATGATGAATAAATATGCCTAATTATGTATGTACAACTAACTAAAGAAGGGTAGGGTTGATATACCTCCTCTATAAATAGGTGATAAACTATTATCTTATATTTAAAATAAAAATGCTTTATTATGTATCCACAACTAACTAAAAAGAACAAACACCTGAATGTTACATAAGTAGCACTTCTGTAGGGTATGATATATCTCCCTTATTATCTCCCATTATTATCCTATATTTAAAGTCATAAAATAAATTTAATAAAAAAGGAAAAGCCAGATAAATTGTATTCCAATTCAAAAAGTATTTATTAGTTCAAACATTTTTGGCTAGTGTGCTAGACCCTTGTAAAAGGGGAAAAGGAAACTTGACTTGCAACATGGCGTACAAATTAAAAGTGTGCCAGCGGCGAAACAAGTAGTACAGGAAGTGCAGCAGCTGAGCAGCCGAGAAGCCTGCGAAACCGGAGACTTGCTGGGAAAGCTGGCAAGGATTTAGATTTCGAAGGGGCATTGTGAGTTCCGTAGGACCCGCATTTAAATGCAAATCAGAGCTCCTGCCACCGGCGATCCGCTCGCGCTCCATTAGCGCGTATCGCAGGGAGGAGATTTATGTCCGAATGGCAGCAGAACAGAACAGCAGCCACTTGACATTTCCACGTTTCCACTTAATTGTGGAGCCGAGCTAAGCCAAGTTTTCCTAGCTCGACACAAAATCAATGGCGGACTCGCTCGAGTTGCCTTCCTTCCCGAATTGCTTAATTAATGGGCGAAGAATCGCTGAATTAGTGCAAAAGTTCTGGCTGCCGAGCTTCGAGTTCTATTTCGGAATTCGAGGAAGTTTCGAGCCAAAGTTCGTTCGAAGGCCCCTCGATTTTTTAAAAAGGAGTAGTTACACTGTCCTCCAGGAGGCTTTAAGGCCCCTCCATAATTCAGTTGAACTCCACTTCCCGGATCGATTGCCCACTTGGCCGGCAGGGAAGTTTTAAGTAGATGTCAACGCGGCAAAGGCAGTTGGTAGATGGCAGTTGGCTGTCCGGGCTGACCCGACATCCTTTCCTCGCATTAATTGCACAATCCGGAGGACAGCGGCGGAGCGAGGAC